CACAGAGACTTTTACACGCAGACGCTTTTACACACAAACGCTTTTACACACAGACGCTATTACACACAGAAGCTTTTACACACAGACTCCTTTACACACAGACCCCTTTACACACAGCCCTTTTAACACACAGAAGTTTTACACACACAGACTGCGTTTACTCACACAGACGCTCGGTACACACACGCTTTTACACACAAACACTTCACACAAGAGGCTTTTACCACAGAGTCTTTTACACACAGACGCTTTTACACACAGAAGCTTTTACACACAGACGCTTTTACACACAGACGCTTTTACACACAGACGCTTTTACACACAGACGATTTTACACACAAACGCTTTTACACACAGACGCTTTTACACACGGACACTTCAAGACAAAGACGCTTTTACACACAGACATTTACACACAGACGCTTATACACATAGACGCTTTTACACACAGACGCTTTTTACACACAGACGCTTTTACACACACACACACTTACACACACACACACAATCTCACACACAGAGGCTATTACACAGAGGCTTTTACATGCTTTTACACACAGACGCTTTTACACACAGACGCTTTTGCACACAGACACTTTTACACAGACACTTTTACACACAGACACTTTTACACAGATGCTTTTACACACAGACGCTTTTACACACAGACACTTTTACACACAGACTCCTTTACACACAGACGCTTTTACACAAAGAAGCTGTTACACCACCCAGAAGCTTTTACACACACAAACACTTTCACACACAGAGGCTTTTACACAGAGGCTTTTACACACAGACGCCTTTACGCACAGACACTAGACACTTTTACACACATAGGCTTTTACACACAGACGCTTTTACACGCAGATGTTTTTACACACACACACACACTTTCACACACAAACGCTTTTAGACACAGAGACTTTTACACACAGACGCTTTTACACACAGACGCTTTTACACACAGACACTTTTACACACAGACACTTTTACACACAGACTCCTTTACACACAGACGCTTTTACACACAGAAGTGGCCCATTATTACACCCTACCGAACTCTTTACACACAGACGCTTTTACACAGACGGCGGTTTAAACCACACAACTCCTTTACACACAGACGCTTTCTACAATACACACAGAAGCTTTTCACACAACCTTCTCTACGCACAGACACTGCTCTTACAACACGAAGACTTTTAACAACAAGACTTTTACACACAGACACTTATTACCACATAAGCTTTTACATCACACACACACACGCTCACACTCGTACACACAGATCCACGCTTTTTTCTTTACAACACCACACACAGCAGAGGCTTTTTACACACAGACGCTTTGCACAGAGACTACGTTTACACACAGACGCTTTTACATCTACAACACTCGCTTTTACACACAGAGGCTTTTACACACAGAAGCTTTTACACACAGACTCCTTTACACACAGACGCTTTTACACACAGAAGCTTGTACACACAGACGCTTTTACACACAGACGCTTTTACACGCAGATGCTTTTTACACACGCACACACGCTTTCACACACAAACGCTTTTACACGCAGACGCGTTTACACACAGACGCTTTTACACACAGACGCTTTTACACGCGGATGCTTTTTACACACGCACACACGCTTTCACACACAAACGCTTTTACACACAGACGCTTTTACACACGGACACTTCAAGACAAAGACGCTTTTACACACAGACATTTACACACAGACGCTTATACACATAGATGCTTTTACACACAGACACTTTTACACAAACGAAAGCGTCCATCGCAATTTTTCCTCACAGTTTTTGACGTCCAACGTCCATTTCGTGCGAAAGGGTTACGATTGACCAAGTAAAATCACAATTTTTCCTCAGTTTTTGACGTCCAACGTCCATTTCGCGCGTAAGGGTTGCGATTGACACTTTAAAATCGCAATTTTTCCTCAGTTTTTGACGTCCAACGTCCATTTCGTGTGTAAGGGTTGCGATTGACACCTCAAAGTCGCAATTTTTCCTCAGTTTTTGACGTCCAACGTCCATTTCGTGCGAAAAGGTTGCGCGCGACGGATGACAATCGCAACTTTTCCTCAGTTTTTGACGTCCAACGTCCATTTCGTGCGAAAGGGTTGCGATGGACGCTTCAAAGTCGCAATTTTTCCTCAGTTTTTGACGTCCAACGTCCATTTCGTGCGAAAGGGTTGCGATGGACGCATCAAAGTCGCAATTTTTCCTCAGTTTTTGACGTCCAACGTCCATTTCGTGCGAAGGGTTGCGCGCGAACCGTCAAATCGCAATTTTACCTAGGTCCTAGGTTTTTGGAAACGTCCAACGTCCATTTCGTTGCGAAAGGGTTGCGTTTCGTGGTGGCGCCTCCGGCGGCACCGCCCCGCCCCCGCCTTAAGAGAGAATGAAGAAGAGCGAGAGGAGATCTGCGATCTGAGGGTGAGATGGAGATCTTCAGAATGTGAGGGGTGTGAAAATCTAGAATCTGCAGGTGGTGAGGGTGTGAAGATCTAGATCTGCGGATGTGAGGTGTGAAGATCTAGAAGATCTGCCAGGTGTGAAGGTGTGAAGATCTAGAAATCTGCAGATGTTTGATGTGTAAGATTCTAGATCTTACAGATGTGAACGGGGTGTGAAGATGTAGATCAGCAGATGTGAAGGTATGAAGATGTAGATCAGCAGGTGTGAGGTTGTGAAGATGTAGATCAGCAGGTGTGAGGGTGTGAAGATGTAGATCAGCAGATGTGAGGGTGTGAAGATGTAGATCAGCAGATGTGAGGGTGTGAAGATGTAGATCAGCAGATTTGAAGGTGTGAAGATGTAGATCAGCAGATGTGAGGGTGTGAAGATGTAGATCAGCAGATGTGAAGGTGTGAAGATGTAGATCAGCAGATGTGAAGGTGTGAAGATGTATATCTGCAGGTGTGAAGGGTGTGAGGTGTGAAGAGCTGATCTTCAGATTTGAAGGTGTGAAGATCTAGATCAGCAGATGTGAAGGTGTGAAGATGTAGTATAACGGCTGCTTTTTTACGAAGAACCCTTCGCAGGCGCTCTCGGGAAAAATGACTGGTGAATGGATGGTAAATGGATGTAAATGGAATGCAAATGGAATGTAAATGGATATTCATCCTGATGATATATGATGATACTAACATATTCTAGGCATTGACATGTATTGACCCATCCCCAGCGAGTGTCAACTTGCTTCTGTCCGTGTGAAGTCCCTTGCATCTCTAGCCACTCATGTTCCAGTTCCGAGGCACGTGGAATGGGCCAACTCCACATGCCTTGCAGAAGTAGAGCCCGAAGCTTTCTGATGAGCAAAAGTCTGAGACTTCAATGCCTGGAGCGCCAACAGCTTTCAGCACCCATGGCTGCAGTTGGAAGCTGCCATATATATATATATATGTATATATATATATATGTATATATATATATATGTATATATATATATACAGTACACACCACATATGCAGTTTGTCAAGTCTTCAGTGTGACAATACGTGTCGATGCTACTGGTAACATCTTGCAACAATATGACCGGGCACGGGAAAATCATCCGTTACCGACTGTGCTTTTTTTTTCACTGCTCATTTCTGAATGCCAGCTGTGCCTTCTTCCTGCAGCTCTGCACTCAATGCCAGTTTGGCTTCAACGGGCTCCTCAGTTGCAAATCACTGCTCCACTGCTCCAGGAGAGGCCAGGATCAGCTGCTGGATATTGGAGCCAGGATACTGGTGGCTTCGCTTTCCTCTGGTGTTTCCTGCCCTAGCATCCGGCGCTGTCCATGACCAAAGCTCAAGGATGGAACGCAGCAACTCAATCAATGTCAAAGTTGAACGGTCAAGTCCCAAGTGATGATGCCAGGGGTCTTGAACTTCACCAACAACAAAATAGATCAAAATAGCAAAGCGCCAAAATACCAAACACACATCCTGAATCATCCTGAATCCGGTATCAAGAACGTTAACATACGTTACCCTCGAGCTTCTGAATGCCTATAAGACATTTGCTCCTGTTTCACACCAAACGAAAGTAACACCCCTACGTGACTGTACCTGGCCGTGATAATCACCTTATATCCCTCCGCTTGCCTGAACATGCCCTTCCATCTGTTCCTCGGTGCAACTTGAGTGCGGCAAGCTTCGAACCATCCGGGCCCACAACAATTAACAACACATTCAAAATCATCAACACATCATCAACAATCCATCAGCAGCCATTCAAAAATCATGAAACGTCATCAAAATTCAAACACCACCCGCCATCAAAAATCATCAACACATCATCAACTTCCAATGTCCATTCCACTACATATCATATACTACATCAAGATACATCAGCTGTACCTTTCGTTTTTTTGCGCCGCAACGGTTCGCCCAGCTGCGGTGCTCAGAATGGGCCCCGCATTACAGAGCTTGCAGTAGAGGCCATCGTGGCGACGACGGATTCCTCTGGTCCATCGCGGCGATGGCCATGGGTCAACCTGGGTCAACCTGGGAAATATGACGAGGATGATGCATGGATGACCTTTATGAACCATTTAGATATCAAGATCCACTTAGGTCAATGATTTTATGGAATAGCCCAACTTGTGGCCATGGGTCATGGGAAAACTCTTCCGGGAAAACTGATGGAATCATCCACTGGTATTGGGCGGAGCAGCAGCTTCATTTTCGTTGTGACCTCACCACCCAAATCCAGAAACGGTCCTTGTTCTTCCCATCCATCCTGACAGTGACGGTCCCTCACATCATCTAAAAATCAGGACTTCGGGTTGACAATCACTTTCAACTGGTCTGGGTCGCACAGTGACATGTGGTTTCCTGAAGTGGGGGACCTCAAAATCATCCAAAATGAGACACTCTCAACGCGGAAACCACGGATTTCGGTATTTTTTCTGTAACATTCTCTAACCTATTTCAGGAAACACCCCATGTCACACCCAGAATTTGTGCAGATCCTCCGGTGGAATCCTGCCTTGATGCCCAAAATCCCGGCGCTTGTATCATGCTCCAACTTTGGAAGCTTGATGAGGTTCTCCCAGATCTGGAAGAGCAAATGCCTCACATTTCCGACTTGGGAAAATCATGGGAAAATCCACCATGGTGCCATGGTTGGAATATGGGCATTCCAATACTCTGGCTGAATTTGAGAATCACCCAACATATCAAAGGTAGTAAAACCCTACATACCCCCGTTTTTGACGTATTATCATCAGCTGACAGCAGAGAGATATTTTTTTGCACATCAAGCTTGTGGTCAGCTTGATCATGTGAATCATGTTTGTACCATTGATTCCACATGATTCCATTGTACTATTCATTTCTCCGCGGCTGTGGTATCACCGGCAACACCCCATAAAAAGAGACCATGGCAATCATGGAAAACCTGACGTAGCTGCGAGGTCCCAATCCGATCCATCTCATCTGCGACTTGGTGGCGGAAATTCTTGCACATGCCGCCTTTGATCAGAAGTCAGCTCCTGGGAGAAACACATGCCTGACCGACTTTGACTCAGCAAGTCAGTCTTGGGTGAAATGGAAGAGTACATAGTTCGAAAGAGCTACATTTCTCAGAGTGTAGCTCTGAACAAACCTTTCACCTGGCATCACGGCAATTTTTCACAGAAGTGGGTTTGTCTGATCCTGGGCTACCCCAAAATGCAAAGCTGAGTCAATTCTTCTCCATTCAAATGGTCACAACCGGGGTGTTAAAACCCTCCATTTTCAGATCTTGCTTTCGGATCTCCTTGGCCTCCCAATCAGACGACAGATCGATGCCCTCCTGAGGCGGTTGACGCCCAAGTAATCCCTTCCCCTCCGGTGGTATAAATGTGGGTATCATGGGGACATAATGATTTCATGGGGATAATTGATAGAATGGAAGCAATCCCTTCCCCCTTACTGTATTTAAATGCCTGCCAGGGTTCGGTCCAGTATTGGATCCATTTTGGGCCTGGTTATTGGGGGTATCTAAAAACCCACCAAATTTGCAAAGTAGCAAAATGATATCTTGTTACTTCTTTAGGTAGTACACAAGTGTCCCAAATTGAAATGACACTGCACTGCAAAAAACAAAATGAAGCTGCAGGTTTCCTGTACGAAGCAAACACTGGAAAACCTGAGGTTACTGTATCAAGCAATGTTTCCCCTTAGTAATGCTATTGTGAACGCATCATTTTTAACATTTTTTAACTATGGAAATCCACAAAAGCCTCCGGAAGTCTCCTGTGGAAGCAGACGTCTTCGCGACAGCTGCATGTAGTCTGTCAAGGCATCCAGCGACAGACCAGAGATGCCGCGAGCTTCCGCCAAACTGGACAGCACGGTGAAGTTCCTTAGGGCAGTGGCTGAAAATGGGTGAAACGGGGTAACTATGGGTGTCACTTTCGGGACCCACAATTTGACGAAGTGGTATCCTTTGGCCAGCGACAAAAAACAACACCCTCCATTCTTGGGGAGTCAGTTGTTTTTGGGATTGACGAAGTGCTATCTATTCCATAGCTTTCACACATTTCTGCTATGAGTATATGGCCAAACATAGCCCTTCATGTAGCAATGGAATACCATGCAATGCCCGTCCCAAAAAAGGTAGTCGAACTTAGTGAGTTGACTCTAGTAGACCTTATTGGAGGTTTCCTGAAATGGGGGTACCCCCAAATCATCCATCTAACAGTAGGATTTTCCGTTATGAACCATCCAGCTATTGGTACCACCATTTCAGGAAGACCTCATTTGTTTGCTCAGCATCTTCAACTCCAGGCTGAAACAGTACGCCAGCTTCTCCTTGTGCCGCTTTGTCCAACTGGCGCAGATTTTCAGGACCATTTCATCCTGCAAAAGTTCCTGTACCTGATGGAACTAAGCTGCTGAGTTTGAAGATGGCTTTGAACATGGGGGGACACACCTGAAAACGATATCTCAAATGGGGATTAGAGTATGACCAGGACCTTCCAAAACTGGATTTTGATGGAGTAAATATGGGGAAAGATAGAATTACATTGAACTTTAATGGAGGTAAATGAGGATGGAATGATCCAATGGATTAGAAAATCATGGAAACCACATTTTTGAATGGCCATAGATCAGGGTATACGGTATACCGCGTTTCTGGGACAATCCACCTTATGTTCCGGAATGTTCTATCTAGATTTGCAAGATATTGTAAGCAGTGGTTCTCTTGTGAGAATTTCCCATTCAGTTTTGTCAATTGACACGAAATTTAATGGAAAGCTCACTTCATCAACCGGTAGATTTTGGACACAGGCGAGTTGCAATGTGTGGAAGCCAATGTCCAGTTCGGTTGGTTCGCAACATGATGCATCCTGGGCTAGTTCTGGCAAGGCTTTTTGATGAGACATGCGTTATGAAGGCCACATAGTCAAAACATGGAACGTACATCAAAGCGACAGGGCCAAACCACTGCTATGCCTAGGTGGTGTGCAAATAATCCACCTTTTTGTATCTTTTATGTGAGTGATCAATGTTTCGCATTTCTCCCAGTTGACAAAACAACTGCTGCTGTGTGGCTGTAAAGATCAGCCAGCAAGAGGGCCAAGACCGGATGATCTTCATGTCCGTGACGCTCAAAGTTCCACAGCCTTACTCTGAGGAGTGGCTAGAATGGCAAGAATGGCTAGCTAGAGCTCTTGGGATGTGATTCTCAGAATGGATGACTGATGACAGCTTGCTTGTTCATTTCAAAGTGTTCAAATGTGTTCAATCACATATCCCAGTCACATCCTACACCATCAAAAGAAATCCCTAAATGCTTTTGATCCTTAAATCATCTAAAATCATATCATCCAGTTGCATTTTAAACCCATCATCCCTAGCCAATCACAGCCCTTCAATCTACATGCTCCCCAATTTCTTCCCTATTTTTCATGGTTAGATCCACATTTTCCTAGCCCTTCTGCCTGATAGCAACCTGGCAACATCGCGAAGGCCACGGGCTTCCGATTCTGGATCTTGCCACCGATCCATGTGGTCGTGACCAGATCCAAGTTGCCCTCCGTCAGCCCTTCCAGGTTGATGATGGTGAAGTTCCGAGCCTCATGGGATGCAGACGGGTGGAGTATTAGTATGGCATAAGTATGGCGCTGCCATAGAAATCACATAGAAATCACATAGAAATAATACTAGTAACTAGTATTGATAATCATAATAATGGTTGATTATAATAAGAGTTGAGATAATCATTGATAATATGGTGATAAGATATGATAATATATCATCAACATGAATATGATTGTAATGATAGCTCATCATCCCCAATAATTGGGGATGCAAAACCAATAGCACTGCCCCCCGCCTTCTCCTGAGCCAGCGCCTCCGGGTTGTCCGGTCTCCGCGCCGGCCGCGCCAAGGTCTTGTGCATACCGGGCCGCGGGGGCGCTGCTGGGGCCAGTGGCACTTGAGGCAGATGGCCACCGCAGTTTGTTGATGACATCAATGACATCCTATAACAATCTGATCGAAAGGAAATGTTGAACTTCAGACAAGAATCGATCAAAATCGAAGGTACACGAATTCGGTATTGAATGCTCGTTAGATTTAGAAGTTGAGAGCCATGAAACATCAAACATCAGAAAACTTCAGGTCCAACTTGAGATCCTGACATCTTGCAGAGCTTTGACCACAGTTGGTGATGGTGGTGGCCAGAGAGCCGAGCCTCACCGGATAACCCAAAAAACAGCGCATCAGTTGGGTACCTCTACAGATTGGATACCCCCAAAAAATTGCCTGGGTTCAAAATGACAAAACTCCACAAAAAACATCAAAAAACATGCCCCAAAACTATCCAGAAACTATTGATCCAAAAAAAGTGGAGCTTTACAATCATGGAAAACACACATTAAATCATTAAATAGCCAATTCAATGGGTTCATTGGTACTGGGGTCGACCATGAACCCCAAAACCAACCATTCTCACTTGGGAAGGAAATGGGCTCGAACCCCTTCAAGGATGATCCTGGGATGAAAAGATACCTTCCGCGACGTCAGGCTTACTGGGATTGGGTAGATAGTTATTATTGGATTATTGGGTATACCATAATCATATCTCATTAATGAATCCACCAACTTTCATGGTTAGCTCATGTTAGCTCATGTTAGCTCCCCATTTTCCATGCTTCGTCCATGCTTCATTCATGTTAACCCCGTGTTTAGTATAGTTCATTTATATGGCTGTGGGCCAAAACCCATGAAATCCACTCATTTTCACAAAATAGATGGGATTTATGGATGTTTATTCTCGAAATAATGCCAGCTATAGGGATTGACCCATCCCCAGTCATGTTTTCCCATGGGTAATCGCCCTAAATATTCTAATATGATATGTAGGTTTTAACCAATCCCTCAATTTTATCTACGTGTTGTAATTTTCATTAGCCCCATTGTATGGTCCCAAATATATGGTTTCATCCCCAACTTTTTGCCATGGTGACGGGGTTTTTGGGATTGTTGGATTAATAATATCAATATGGATTAATATATTATTAATAATATGGATAATTGGATGAATAATATGGATAAATAATACCATATTTATAATATTAATAATATGGATGACATATTCTCATATTATCTCATATTGTTGGTTAGTTCTATATCCCTTAGTCCAATAGACAGTAAATCCATGTAAATCCCCTCATGAAATTCCATGAAATCCCCCATCGGCTGACGCCTGGCGGTGGTGACCACTGCGGGGGTCTCGGCGGCGGTGAGGGCAGGCGCGGAACCGGCGGTGCCGGTGGACGGAGGAGCTGATGCCTCACGTGGAATCCTACCAGTGGTTGGAAAATGTGGGAAAACTTCGAGGAAACCCAAACATTTGCCATGATTTTCCATGATTTTCATCTAATTATGTATTATTAGATGAAAACATATGCCATCAAATGTTAGAAAAATTAGGTTGGTTTGAACATTTAGAGGAAAATTACCACAAATTCCAGCGGATTTATTGTCCCTACTTCAATACCTCAATTTTCAGACATAGAAAATTAGAGGAAAACCTCTAAGGAATCCATGGTTTTAACTTTATTCTTTTTCATCTTTGATGGTAAAACATGGTAAAACCATCTAAACATATAGTAAACATCAGCTGAGTTTGGGTTCAGCACCAGAATCGACATCCATAGTCAGGACGTGGAACCATCGTCTGTGAGGCTCGAAAAAAAACCGGAAGGGATTGGACAATCTAATCAAGACCCATTGGAAACATCTATAAACCAAGAATATCTGAGAGTAAACACTAAAAACAATGGTTTCTTGCCGATTTTCGGTTGAATCAACCCAACGAAACGCCAAAAGAAACCCAGCGGCCACCAATGAAAGATCTGTTCTCGTGAGACTTTTTGGTCGACTTTTCGGGACCCTAAAACAGCCCCAACCAGTCCACCACAGGTCTGGCCTAAGCATCTGCACCTGTGGCAACCATATGAATTGCAACAGGATCATCTAGGTAGGACATGCTGGGACTTGGATGAACAAAAAAATGAAACCAGCAACAGCAACCAGGTAATTTGACTAAGCAAGGACTAACGGCATAGCCCAAATTATGTTATATATACACAATTATACACATATAAGAAGAGTGTATTGTATACATCCATTGGATCATCTGGCTGAAAAATATCGGAACTTGTGCAGGAGGGAATTTCAGTAAATCAAGCAAATTTACATCTAAAGTAATTATATAATGTATATAAAGGCTCCTTCTAGCATCTTTCCTCCTTCCATTGCCAGATCAGCATGGCCTCTTCCTCAAGCATTGTGCACAACTCCACGGTCTCTTGAGCCTGCGTCGGGAGGTTTTTTGGCCCAAAGCCTGGATTGCACATGACTCAGTCGGGATAATAGGGCGGGCCTCTTGTTGCAGTGACACTCGCATCTGCCGAAGCTCCTGGCAGTCACATTGGCAACTCTGAATCCTCGAAGAGATTTATATTAAAAGTAATGATGGCATATCTCTCAAGTCCAAGTCTTCACATTATGGGAGAATGATAAAAGCAAATCTTCACTCTTGAAGGAGAAGGAGATCCTGGTCACATTATGTGTCACCCCTCACAGAGAATGCGTAGTGGGTAGACGCAAACAGCTCTTTGTCTGATACTACGCAATGCCAAGGGTTGAGTTTGGAGTCTCTGTGATGGAAGGTTTGCGATGACACTTGTATCCAACAACCAATTGAAGTCGAGAAAGTGTGACAAGGGTCAGTTCCTTTCAGGCCATACAAAACTTCGAAAAGGTCTTCCCAGCGTCCACCTATCCCACCACTATCACTGACATTGGAGAAATGTGGAGAAAACCCACTCCCCGGAGACGAGATCAAGGGATATCAAAGGCGGCCAAACGTCCAGCTCGGCACCTGCTTTTCGACATGTCGAACTGCAGCCTGAGTCTGAGCTGAGTCTGCCATTGAAGCACCATCAAAAACCCAACATCTCAGAGTTTGCTGGTGGCCACTTCTAACAGAAATTGCAATCATCTGAAGCTATATAAACGCCACCATTCAGGTCCCCTGACTTGACCCTCCTTGCCAGCGTCACCTGGGGGCTCGGGATTTTCAGCTGAAGAGTCATTGAAATACTGGTTGGTTCAATTTGGTTCATAGGGTTTCCCGTTAATATCGTTAATGGATTATGATATCTAATGGATCATAATGGGTCTATGATAACCCTCCATATATTCGGTAGTATAACCAAGTATAACCCTTATGATCATGGATGTCTTGCAGCCACTGCTCAGTTGAATATGGGGTCCACGCCGCAAAAGTGTAGAAGTGCTGATCTGAACACACCCGAAATAGTTGTTTCTCGGTGCTGCACGCCATTCAAAACTTGTGTAGATAGATATACGTGTATTTATACAGTAGATAAGACTTCTTCTACAACAACAACAACAACAACAACTACTACTACTACAACTACATACTACATACAACATACTGCTATAATCATCACAATAATCATCACAATAACAACAACAACAATAATAACAATAATAACCACAATAACAATAACAAAAAAACACTTAATAATAATATATAACAATGATAATACTAATTCATAATATACTAGAAACATGTGATTTTGTATACCATGGAAACCCAATGATTGCTCCAGGGCCGACACCTTGCTGAGGTGCTGCAGCCAGCGCCTGCAAGTGATGGCCACAAGTTATGACCATTCAATGGGGAACATCCAAAATGGCAATGCTTAATGGACAAATTGCTGTTAGTTATTACCTATAAAACATGATATTGGATCTAATAAATATGTACACATTATAAACCAATGGATTTGCTTTTTTGTACCCATTTGTAAGACTCTTAGCCACATGATATGGGTCCAAAATGATACATGGGACTACAGCGATTATGATATTGTGATATATGATACGATACGATATGATACGATATGATATTCATGATGGGATCATAGTCACAATGACTACTATTATTTGTTTATATGGGATTACAGTGATAGGATATGGGATATATGGGATATATGGGATATATGGGATATATGACGTGGGATAATGATGATTATATTATGGATGATATGGGATGATATGGGATGATGGTGGATACAGAAGGATATGTCAACCGTGAGGTGCCCTGCAGGTGGTGTCATCGCAGGGTGTCCATGGTGATCCGCCGCTGCACCTCCTTCAAACTCTCTTCAGCCAAATGCTTGGCCTCAGACCATGGATTCCTGATGATTCCTGTACAAATCACCAATTCAACATGAGGACCCACGAAATTTCACCATTTTGGGAGCTCTGTTCAAATCATGGCAAGGATCAAATCACAAGGATCAGCAACCAGACCCGACCAGCGTGTTTTTCGGCACCTGCTGTATCAGCTGCTCGGCATCTGCAACGAGGTTTGCCTGGCCAGTGCAAGGCGATGCCCGCAGGCGATGCCCGCAGGTACGGAAACCATTTCTTGGTGTATAAAAGAAACGACACTAATATCGCTTAAGTTGATCCAAGTTGAGTAAGTCTAGTCTAAAAATGTCTAAAAATTGCGAGATCCACATCCATATATATATATATATCCTACTGTGTATATATATATATATACATACACATACATCCTACTGTATCCTACTGTACTTTTCCGACCTTCTGGGTCTGGATCTCCCATGGTATCTCTCCCATGCTGCAGCCAGCGCCAGCCAGCGCCTCCAACTTCACCCGAGCTTCACAGCATAAGCCGAAGGCGTGCTGAAGATCTGCCGCCTCCCAGCAACTCATGGGAGACATCGTATATGGATATGATATATTTGTACAATGTATCAATGATTATCATAATGTATATGAATGTATATGATACAGTATAATGTATATATATTGAATGTATATTGATAATATCATTCTATATCTTTGATGATCTTTGTATATACGCGTTAATATATCATTCTACATACATGCGGCAATCTTTCTACATACTACTGGTTATTCTATTTTTGTGTTGATAATGGATATGATTTGATATGGTGATTGTGAAAAAGTATGTCTTGATCACAGAGACCAGGCATCGCCCATCATCACCGCCAGATCATTTTGGGACACGCCGTGACTAGAGATCAATATGTGAAACCATGTTAGTGGATAATAACATGAACACCAGTATCCTATAATATTGATCAATCAGCCATAAGATCATAAGATATTGGAAAAAATACCCCGAGCCTTCTCCTTCAGGAGTTTTTCCAACTTCACAGTGGCGCTTGGCTTTGATCGGGCGCGTGGCTTGACAGTACCTGGGTGTCTGAGAAATGGGAAAACCATGTGATGCCCTGCAGTTGTGGAAAAAGGCATGCATTGCTTAGGCCAACTTTGACGTGTCCCTCTCAACTTTATTCAATATTGCTGGGGTTCCCAACAACTGTGTTTTCTGAATCAACTGATCGGAATTCATTGAAATTCTAGATGCATGGATAAACCAGGCAGGCTGAGGCTTTATTCAGAGAAGTTCTTTCCACGCCTTTGTCCGGCAATGGTGGAGGCGGTGGTGCTTTCTTTCTTTCCTCCTCCTCTTTCCTGGCAGAATAATTCAGTTTCCAAACTGGAGCTTCCAACTCAGTCCAATACAAGTGAGTGTTTTGCAGTCCAGCGATGTGATGAATGGCGACATACCAAAACATGAAACAACATATCAGGATAGACTCAGAATGAACCATTGTGCAAGCAAAGAGAAAGCCATAAGTGAACTCCCCCGGAAGCAGTGCAAAAATAACTCGCTACAAGCTGTTGCCGGCCAGACTTTCTCTTGCTGCGTTCGGCAGCAGAGTTGGGTCGCACGTCCGACAACTTACTCGCTTGATTGATGGCCTGCTGGTGACTGGAGACAACGCTCCGCACACTGATGGATCATGGGATGATCATGGGATACAAGTTGGGCTTGTCTCAAAATGGGGGATGATATACATGGGACCATCATCTTGTCACGACCATTGTTTTTTTGATGTTGCTTTTTCTTTCAAGTGGCTTTCGGGTTCGCAATTGTGAGACCAAGCCCATTGGTTAAATGTCATGAACCCACCCACCAGCCTCTTTCACCCAAGCAACTCGGCGTGAGACTGATTCAGCCTCTTTCGCCGCAGGAATTGCGATATGTCGCGATGCTGGGGACAGGTGGCATGGTTCAAAGTGAGAAAACCGACCCCAGTACTGTCGAATCGCAAGTGTACGCACTTGCGGAAGACACTTAGCAGTGGTATCCAGTGTATCCAGTGGTATCCAGTGGTATCCAGAACCCTTGATCAGCCCTTATTATTGGAGGTTAATGATCTTTGTGGGGGTTGCTCCTTCGTGATCGTCTCAAGACCACCTGGGTAAATAAGAATAATTCGCTAACCTGAAATAAGGCCAATTTGGGGATGACTCCCCAAAAAATCACTAGCGATGATTCCAGTGAGGTCAGTGAGGTCACAGCGAGGTCAACACAACTTACCCCGTAATATATATATATATACATATTATATATATATGTATATAATATAATATAATATGATATGATATAATATAGTATATCAAAATATAATCTTATAATATATATATATATTATAAAGATAATATATTATAAGATCATATAATATAGTGATATAATATATTATGATATAATATAATGTAATATAACATAATTATATTAAAATATAATATAATATAATATGATATAATATAATGTAATATCATAAAATATAATACAATATAATATAACATAATATGATATAATATAATATAATATAATAACATATATATATATATATAAATAATATATCATAATATAATAATGTATAATATAACATAATATAATTTAATATGATATGATATAATATTATATATTATATTATATATCATTAATAATGTGTATATCAATGTATATATATATATAATTATATACACACACATACTATGTTGTGTACCCAACATATACTACAGTAAATATACCTTAAATTGGTACAACCTCCACAGAAACACAGCCATTTCTGAGAAATCGCACTGCTGGAAATCGCAGCTCAGATGGGCTATGTGCTTTGGAGCCTTAAAAAACCGGTGGACAACCTCGGACATCGGAAGCATCTTACTTTCATGATGCATTTGCATATCGGTAGTCTACACATCTCCAACAGTTCACATTCAAAAATATGTTGTAGATATTAAATGATATTAACGTATCACATTAATGGTGATCTGATCATCACACACCTGATATATCATCAGGTCGCCTGATACCCCGGATGGACCTCGCGTTGAGCCACCGAGGAGCACTTGCACTTGACATCCACACTGCTGGAGCGGCTACCGAGGCGAGGTGTAGGTGTAGGAGCTCTGCCCTGGGCGCCAGGCAACCACTGGTTTTAAAGGCTGGTTTTAAACGCTGGTTTTGAGATGCTTCAAAACTTAAATTATCATAGCCTGTAATTAATGTGCTTAAACAAATAATTTAAAAAAAACATCTCTCAAATCACCATACATAGGTGGTCACTATTCCCGAATGGGTAGTTTATTATTGTTTTAATCACATTAGATACTATCCATCCACTCCATGAACAAAAGTAGTGAAACATATGCAGCGCATTTCATAATCTCAACTTTCCATATGGTTTTCTTGTAAACCATCTTGTGTCTTGTGTTTCACATTTTGTAAAGCTATATTAAACTTGTTGTCCCGTTCTCTGCCTTGGCTGTAGCCGTCTGTGATGAGCTTCTGCGGCGCTCCAGGGCACTTTGACACATCTGCTTCCTGAATGGCCTCAACGTTGGGACCAAAGATGCAACCGCCATCAACCGCCATTGCTTAAAACAACATGCCAAGTCTTGGCAAATTGGCGCAAATTGCCTGAGGTTTGGAATCTCATCACGGACAGATCCCGGCCTCTCCAAAATCCTTACTGCTCCGAAAGAGGCCAAGGACTGCCCCAGGTGCTCAAGTCCAACCTTTTCCTTCTCCTGAGTACATTGATTTTCTTCACAAACTTACTGTTCACAAACTCACTGTGATATTTCTTGAAGTGCGCCCTTTTGGAGCTATTTTTATCTCCCATTCTGCCATTATGTGACATTTTCTTCCAGCATCCAGCTGCGCCTTCTTATTTAAGGCCGTGATGATGTTCTCTGCAAGGTCACGTGCCTGTGAAATGGAGCTTTCCGAGGCCCACAAGATGTGCTGATTGAGCGGGGTTTGATTTCTTCCAAGATGGGTGACCAGTATTGACATATGAACATTATATAACATATTATGTAAATATGTTTGTATATCATATACAATATCATACAATATCATCCAATATCATAATACAATATCATCCAAGCATATATATATATGATTAATGAACAGAAGCGTACATTTTAATCCATCGACCTGTTTTGTATCTGTTGATCCCTCCATTGAAGCACTGCAAAATGATCAGCAGGGACCTCTAAGAGGAGTCCAAACTCCACTTTGTTGTCGAAATTCTCCTCTGGTGGCCGACTCTTGTCACCTTCTCCAACTTCTTCGGCTTCTTTTTTGGCCTTGAACAAAAAAAAAGCTGATATCATAGAATCATGGTCAATCCTTGGTAGTCCACAAAAAATATCAAAAAATAGTCCTTTGCTGGTTATGCCCATTTTCCATTTATAGCAAAATTAGCAAAAAGCTCAAGGATTAAACTACCCATAAAAGGTTGGGGATGTAATATATAATATATATATATATAATATATACTAGTATGAGAACTGAAGGAAACTTGTCAGCGGGGTAACTGATGACACTCTTACAATCCAGATCTGCCAATCGCTGTCCATCAAAGAGTGAAAACAACGATCGCACGTTTGAAAACAGTCGTGTTTCAACCTTTAAAACTCTCACTTTTCAATACTTTTCATAGATGTCCCATGGCTTTTAAATCTTTTTCCCCCATAAATTGGGGTTCAAAAAGAAACACAACTGCAGCCAACGGCGGTAAGCACCTTAGCCTTGATCTGTTCCTTCATAACTTCGCAGTTGTGCACCTGGCTGGGGGTTGAACCATGGCTGTACCCCCATTTATGGATGGTTTATGATGGAGAAACCATGGAAAACACCAATTGAGATGGAAGTGCATTTCCAACGATTTTGAAGAAATCAACATCAACGTTTTGATACACCGCAATTGTTGGAAGAAACCAAAAAGTCAACATGTTGATCATTGGATGGCTGCAATCTGCTGGTGTCTGGTGCTAAACATGGCAGAGTGTCGGTTTTGGACTTGTGCTGTGCGCAATAGAAACCAGAGCAACGGTCGCATCTGAGCGAGATGGAATCCATTTAGATCCTCTTGGGAATTACCTCTGGTTGGGGGTGTCTGATTTTAGGGTACATCAGAACCCTCAAGATTTTTAAAGTATATAATCAGGACCACAAAGAATAAACCAAAAAAATCAGGATGTACACAATCATTCTGATTCAATGGGATACTGACACATTCTCTTCAACCCCACTTCAGCATTTCTTTCCATTCCGGGTCTCTGCTGCTGCAGCCTTGGCTCAGAGGTCAGGTGTGAATCCATTGGGGCTCCGCACTTCTTGATATTTTGACTGGTGTCCAGTTGTTTTCCACAACCCTTGTGATGACACCGGAAGCGATCCAAGATCTGCTGCACCTCAGATGCAGTGGCGCACAAAGAAGAATGGGGAGGGCTATAAAATCCAGGACTCTCCACAAGAATCTGAATTGGCATCTCTAAGATGCAAACTCCAAAACTGCCTCAGTTACAAGTGCTGAGAACAAGATGTGGCAGGATTTGACAGTGAACTACTCACAAAGAACAATACTAGTAACAACAGCGGCAGTGCCAGGCCACAGATAAAAGCTAATTGGAACAACCAAACCGAAAAAAAATGCACCAGCAACAAAGAGCCAAAGAGGAAAAACCAAAGTAGGAAAACTTCAACAGCTGGCTGGGACAAATTCTGCTGCAAGGCGTATCACTTGTAATACTACCTGCACACCTCTACTAGCCGCTATACTGAAAACTGCATGCGTGTTCCTGTCCAAGCAGCTTTTCAATTTCGTCAGCGCGTCATTCAAAGCACCTTCAAGGGGCTGTAGTGGCATAGATTCCCAATCCCCTCTTTTTTTTGCTTGAATGTTGGTCTCAACTTCCTATCAATCAAACATCTTCAGCACACGCACGGACACCAATTTCGCGTAATCTGGTAAAGCTGATAGTCAATAAACCATAGTGCACTTACTCAGTTTTGTTAGGGGGCTAAAAACCATACCCCAAAAGGACTGGTTAAACAGTTGCTATGTCATTGTTGGGTCCACACCCCGATGACGGCGCCTTTGAAATACTGCGATTTTGCCTGCGACAGCATATGATGCCTGCGCCTCAGCAGTCGCGAAGCAAGGTCCCCAAAGGGCCCAGCGAAGCATGGTTCGGTACAGATCATTGTGGTTGGCATCTTCAGAACATGTTCAGATTCTATCAGGTCCATTCTTGAACCCGAACACATTTTTGGTGAATGAGCAATCGAACTCAAGATCTCTTGCATATCTACCGCCAATCTTTGCACCGCAGCTGGGTGACCCTGACACGTGACGGTACTTGGCATATTTTGGACCATCGTAATTTTCGCCAATCTCCTGTTCTTGCAGTGACATGTACACAACAGTTCAACACATGTCAGGGGCAGGCAGAACCTCCATACTGCGCCAACACCAAGGGAAAACTACTTTTGAATACCTTAAGATTTTCCCTCAAGTCAACCGATATTCTGATATTCTATTACAGTACCTATATTTACACATTACATTGCATAGTTATATAGTGTGACGAATCCCATGGTAAAGGTATCCCATCATATTCCTCTCTCGACAACCCCTGCGAAGCCGTGGGATACGAGTGGAGCCTTGACGAAATCCTCGATGCTGGTGATCTCAGTCGTGGGGATTGGGCGACTGCGAACAATGGGGGCAACAAGCAACAAAGAAAACAACAACAACATGTGGGTCATGTGAAAAACATGTGAGCTCTCCAAGTCAAATTCAACCACAAGACACCAACTGTTGAGAGAGCATACAGGATCCAATACATCGACATACATCGACAAACTGTGTATTTGATCCAATAGATAGCCATCGATGACTTCACCAGCAACTGAATCTGTGTTTGGACTATTTTGGGACCACATCTCTTTGTCCAAGCCCAAAAAATCAATGGCAATTGTATCATGTTCCCTATCAGCAAATTTGGGGCATTTCTAGACGAAACCCATGTCATACTGTTGGTATCTGTTGGTAGTACATCCATCCCATTAGTATCTCAGCAACATGGTTGGCCTTACAAGGATTTCTGCCCCGTTTTGGTTGCTTAAATCCCATATCTCTGCACAACTCTCTCATCTGGGTTTGGCCTTTTTTTTGCTAAGGTACCCAAGAAAATCCAGCCGGGCGTGTCATTCAATTTTCATCAATTTTCCCTATGAACATTGATTTCCGCAACTGGATGGGTCTCCACCATTTGGGAATGCGTCAAAACCTAGTACTGCTGTTGTTTAGCTGGACGTTCATCCCCAAAAAATGCTGGTATCACCATCATTAAGCCCCCTATCCTTAACGGCTAAATTCTCCCAAATCATGGTACCAGAATGTACGGGAATGTACTGTGGCACACACCAAAAAAGAAGTTCTAACTACAAGCCATCCCCATTAATCCATAACGATCCATAGTCATTCCATAGTCATTCCAACCCAGCCATGGACCAATGGAGCCTTCTCCGGGTCCATGCGATCAGAGATCCTATCCCGCTCTGCCAGCACGTGTCGTGGCACGTTGGCCGCCTGGGTTAATGCCGGCAACTTGACGAACATTGGCCTCAAGATTTCACCACACTTTGAACTTCAAGAACCTAAGACCTAAGCTGTTTTACTTAACAGCAACCGTAGTAACTTATATGTAAGTTATAGTTATATATGTAACTTATTACCTGTTTTGAAGAGTGAAACTGCGTATTAGCACTTATTAGCGCCCAATCTGGGCACACTCGCAGGGTCGCGGCCATAGCCAACGTCTGAGAGCCAGACAGTTTGGGGATGGAAGGTACACTCCCGAACATCCTCATCCTGCCCAACAAGCTCGTGAAGCTCTAAAAAAGCAAGTATCAAGGTTCTAGCGGATTCTAGCGATAGCTAGGGGCAGATTCCTACCATCTTTCAACACAAGGTGTGGGAATACATCCAAAAAGAATGCGGAAGGTGATGGATAAGTTCATGATATTTCAATATACCATCTGGTTATTTAACAGTTCGCCATGGAAAGATCCACCATTTGTAAGTTCGGGTCAACCTCTATTTCGATTAGGGCCATGGCTTAACCATGGCTATGTTAGTCATAACCAGATGGTATAAACCATCATAATCCAGTATAAACCATTATATTAACCTATTATTAACCCATAATTATTAACCTATTATTAACCATTATTTCATGAAACACAGCAGGAAGTACCTTAGCAAAGAGATGCTGACGCAACGCCATCGTCTCGTCGGTCTGCAAAACGTGAAATTCCTGGGACGTTTGTCAAAGGGGACACCAATGGGACAGCCAAAAAAGGTCCATATGGTTTATTATCATCCATTAAATGGTCATAACTGGAGGTTAGATCCCCCCATTTTATCCCATTTTCAGATCCATGGATCATCATTCTTGCAATTTACATGTCAACTGAAAGTTGCTAGTTTCATCTAGTTACTAGGCCCCCATCTGCAGACACAGTCCTTCTTATCTTTGACTGCCATCTTCAGCAAGGCCTGCTGCGGACACATGGGAACCACTCGAAAAGTATGAAGCCTTCCTTAAAAACCTCCAAACTTGCTAGTAAAGTGTGGCTGAGCATATAAACACGTGTAGCTTTATACTAGTTGCAATCTACAGCTATGGTATATTGCTACATGTGCATTATATATTTATTGCTACATGTGTATATGTATACTGAATGTAGTAATGATAATACTGTAAAAAATAAACACAATAGGAATATTAGTATGAATAACAATAATGACAACACACGCATATATATATATATATTATATTATATATACATAATCATAATATCATATACTATTAAGATTCTTATTATTTTGATTTATTTTGACACTTGGTCAACAAAGGCCAACCATCTGGATCCAACTTGGCCGACCCTCTTGGAACCCGCACCCCTTGCTCGTCCCCCTTGAAGTCATGGCTTTTTCGCAGTTTTCTGACCTGGGGATTCAACGAAAGGTAGACATGTTAGACCACCCAAAATCTCAGAACTCACTTGAGCATTGCACGCGTTCCAAGCACTTATTGCAAAACATGCCAAAGATTTTACAATCTTTGCGTCCATCTAGGAACAAAAACAAATACTATACACTGCATGGCTGTCTCATCCTGCTGATTCTGAAGAAGTCATGATCAAAACTCTTTCTCAAGCAGGCAGCCTCACAAGAAATAAAGGCACGACTTGAGTAATCTTCAGAAGCACCCAGTGATATCTGGAGTTTGACTCACCTTTGGTCAACCCAAAAGTGCTTATCAAAACATCGATGGTCAAATGGTCAAAGGCTTGAGACTCCGCACAATGTCCATGTTGATCACCATGTTGAAGCTCTGGCCATGCACTGCTGTCGACCAAAACCTGCCACGAAACGGTCTCTGCTGGATCAAATCCAAAGCCAACTGCGCCAGAGAGGCAATCCCTTTCTGTGAAATCTGCAGGATCCACGATACAGTATCCATCGATATCCCAATAATTCCCAATAATTCATGGTAAAACATGGGGTAAAATATGGTAAAATCACTGTGAAATCACGCGTGAAACATGATCTGCATCCACTGCCTTGGCACTGGTGGAAGCTTTCCCGCCTTTTGGCTCTTCCTGGCGCTGAAACCCTCACGGATTTCCCTGACTTTATGTGCCATTTTTACGGGCGGCCCATACCCCGTTTCTGGACAAACACATAGGAAAGACATGGAAAAACCATGGACAACGCCACAAGTCATGGTGAGGTCAAAGTTCAAGATTGTTCACTCTTGACATCTCTTCATCACGTTGGGACGAGCTTGTCCCCATCAACGCCTGTGAACATGCCCTGCCTCTCCAGCTTTCGGAAGATGTCCAGAAAGCGCTGTCTGAAAAGTGGAGGTGCCAGGCGCCACACCTCGAGGTGGTGCAGATAAAAATATTTCAGGATGACAGGATGACGATAAAATCACTGAGAATCTGTCCTGGCACAAAGGAGCTAAGATATCAAAGATCTAGAAACAACTTAAATGCACACAAGAGAGCTTGAGAATACAAATGGCCGGATCAATATCTTTAAAGCAGGACTCTGGGCACTGAATCATTTGCAAAATCGCTCACCAGAGCGATGGTTCTGAAACTGAGACAATGCATTGACAACTCATAATTTTTTGAACAGTTGGAGCTGCAAACACAGAGGATTCAGTTCCCACCTTCAGGATTCCCACAGACACTGATAATGCCTCTCCCAGGCTTGACATGGCTCCATGGCATCAACAAATGTCAAGGGTGCTTTGAAAATGCAACACTTGAGATGAACGAGAGATTGCACCGTTGCAAGATGGGCAGCAGTAATCAGCAGTATCCGTTGTGAATACACATGTTCGAAGACTTGCCTTGCCAGCCATCTGTGGCCACGCACCGCCGAATTGCAACCGGACCTTGGCTTCGGCAACGCTTCGTAACAACTGACTAGGTTGGGTGCGACGCTCCGGACGTTCTTTGAAGGAATGTGGAGCCATTTGTTTCTGTCAGTCCGCTTGGATTGGGGAGGGAGCTCCAGTGCTGCCACCGGAAGGGTCTTGACAGTGGCCGATTTTGATCAACAAAATCTACAGTTAGTCTTAGATAGTCTTAGCCTCTTAGCGTGAAAAACTATGCAGGAGTTGCAGATTGCTCGGGATAGGTCAGAAATGCATGCTGTGCGTGCTCCAAAGTCACTACCTGACTACCACTCTGGTCTGGTATTCGTTTGGGTGCTACTTCAGCCACACTCTATACTGGGCTATGCTGCTCCTCACGTCCTGAACCCCAGCACCCTGCCTAAAAGCCTGATGCCACGCAACTTCTGATGGTACAGTAAACCACCATTGACAACCATCAAACGGATTTTGAGGACCCTATCATCTATCAGCCCTTATATAACGTGCACGCATGGGGAGTGAGTATGGCTCTTCTCGAGATCTAGCGGAATTACGCAGGACTTGATAGCATGGGCGACAGCCGGTGCAGTTGCAACCTCCAGTATGTAGTATATAATACCAGTAGTATATGGACTACATAAACAACCATAAACACATGGTTTTTGTTCTTTGTTGTCTGCAGAACACTGGCATTTAGGGACCTTGTTCCTCCGTAGCCTTTCGGCTCAAGCTGTCTCTGCTCAAAACCATTTCTGGTCTTTGTTTGTGTCTTGAGGAAGAGTGCCGTTGTGTACGTATCCATTGGTTGGCACCTTCTTTGTTTGCTTTGGGTAAGGCAGGGTAGTCAGTGACACGGAGGTAGTTAACGACGCTGGGGTGCTGCTGCACTTTTTGCGTTTTTGCGGTCCTTCTTCTTCCGGTTGCTCGGTTGGTCGAAGTGGCGGATTTTTTGGAGCTTGGTTGTTATCGCAAACTGTCTTCCGCGAGCTTGTTGATTTTTGATCTTGGCCGCTCTTTGACATGATCAGTTTTTCGATTTGTCTCTCCGGGTCTTCCAGTTGCTTCGGAAGTCCTGACGATGATTCGGTTTTGTATTTGGTTTGTTGTTTTGTTTGATTTGTTGGTTTGTTTTGTATTGTGAGTTTGTTCTTCCAGTTGCTGATGAAGTACTTACTCACTGATTGAGTTCCCACGCTTGCTGACCGGGTTCTCTTTGGTTGTTGTGGTTTGTTTGGATTGTTTTGTTTTCTATTTTTTCCTCGTGAATCATATTAGGTCTGATGAACAAAGAGCCGTTGAACTGCTGGCAAGAGCCATGTATAGCTGCTATATAATCTATATAGATCTATAACTATACAGCAGAGCAAAATCAAACACATGCAAACTCATGTGCACTTGTTATGGGTGTAAACCTTTGCTCATGTTTGCTTCTCAAGACTTCTCAGTAGCAAACTTGCCGTCCCACAAAGAAAGCGGGCACCTAGGAGGCTGCACAAGTCACATCTCAAAGTCAATCTCGAATTAAGGTGGGTAAAACAATAATAAACCACCCATTTGGGAATGGTTTATACCAACTATTTATGGTGATTTGGGGGATGGTTTATTATATTTATTATTGTTTTACCCACATTACTCCAATGATTTTGAATACATCTGCCAAGCCCATCTGTCTCAATTAGGTTAACACCTGAGGACACCACAACGCAAGGCTTCTCTGACACAGTGATCTCCTAACAAAGAAAAATCAACTGCTCTAGAAATAGGAGCGGATTTGTGTCTTACAACATCCACAACATCATCTTGTAATCTTTTGGCAGTCCCCCATGCTGCTGGTTTGAAAAGCTGCTCCTCAGCACCTTAGTCCCTTCAGAATCCCATCTCAGCTCCTGTTCTTGGACCTGCTCCAGCTTCTCTCCAGCTTTGGAAGCCAAGATCGTCACCTAGCCGCGATCCCAGAATCGCTGTAAAAACTCTGCGAGGTTCTTCCTTCAAGACGTTTCATGACCTAACCCCAGGAGTTCCGAAATCTGTGTTTCATTGCTCTAATGGATCCAATTTCACTTTCCGCTTCACGATGATTTGCCCACTCACTTGGAATCTGGACCTGAGTTCAAAACCATTGTACCAGTGTGAACATCAAAAAAACTGATAAATACATGTTCTATTCCCCAACAATATTACAATATGGTATCATAGAATCATAATGTGTTATAAGTTATAGGTGTTGATTCATCTCCAGGTCATTTGACCCATCCCATGGAGAGCAAGCCATGTGGCGTTGAACTCTCCCAGCACCCACCTTGAGTTTCTGCTTGAGGCTTCCACCCATCGGCTCCATCTGGGGCGCCTGGAATTGAGCTCATTCCCAGCAACTTTCTATCCAGTCATTTCGTTGGGGCTTCAATCGATTCTCATCGATTTTTTTCCCCGCATTACATCAGGATCCATTGATTATTCAACCATCCGACTACCCAAAAAATCTTTCCCAGTTGGGTTTGTCTGAACCTGGTTTCCCCTAAAAATCATCCACCATCCACTGGTGAATCGTGGCGACATGTGGTGAATCATCACCATTCTCACTTGGAATGGCCATGGGGGCCTTGAAAAAGAGGCGCAGGGGTTGCTGCACCGCGTCTTCTTGTAGCTGAGTTAAGACCACCATGGGAGGCTGCCTCAAGGCAGTCGACCGCCCAAAAAACGTGGGTAAAACTGAAAATATCTCGCAACAGTACAGGACAAACAGCTACATTCCAATAGATTGCCAGTGATATTCTATCCAAAAAACGCACTTTTCATTTATCATCATTGATTGAACCATGTGGAGATACTATGGCACAATTACAATTAACACAACCAGCAATTCCCTTCTTTGGATCTATTTGGATCTATTTGGATCTATTTGGATCTATTGGGATCTATTTGGATCTATTTGGATCTATTTGGATCTATTTGGTGCTTACATTTCCCGCCAACATTTCCATATTTTTTGGGTGTCCACTACAGCACTTCCGATCTCGGTATATCTCGGCCGCCCAGCTCCAAGAACTTCTCATCACCATCGCCTCCCGCATCCAGTTGAAGCACCTGCAGAAGCTGCGATTCTCGGACAATTGAGGGTACCCAGGATTCTGGGATATATATATATATTAATATATATATATATACACGTATATATATATATATTTATATCATGATATATCTGTATAACAAACCCTCGTGAAGATAGAGTACTGAAGATGTACTGATATTACCCAACAATTATTAATCGTTTGTCTGGGGGGGTGCTAGAAGCAAACCAGCAGGGGTGTCATCACAACTTGAAACCCATGACTTTGGGGATCCGTCATTTTAGTAATTATTCCCCCCAAAAAAAGAACTGGCTAAATTGGCTAAAATTCTTCCGGGGAAGTTGATTGCCATATGTTCACCGAATGATGGGAGATTTCAGCAAAGCCACATCACCAGGTTGCACGCCGGCCATAAAGGCTGGTCCACCATGAGCTACCTCAGTGACCATTCTGAGAGCACAGGTTGTTGATTATAACACACGTAGTGGTGACTCTAGATAACTGTATGATCACCATCCGAGAGTGTCATCTATTATGTCATCAGTGACCATTCTTTATTCCAGACTTGAAGAATTATTGTTTCAAGTTGTACAGCAAAATAACGAAATACTGCTCCACCCAACGCAGACGCGGAGCCGATGTAGTTTTGTAGGTCCTTATGCCTTATGTCCTTATGGAAGGAAGGATGAAACAAATACACTAGTATCACTGTATCACTAGAAAGAAAATGCAAGCGGTGCCCAGTCAATGCTTTTGCAAGTGGCATCTGCAACCTTGATGGGCAGGCCAAGGCCTCAACGACATGTGTACACATGGTACCCTGGTGAACATCTGAATAGCTGCTACATAGATGGCATCATATTATAACAAGAATATAGTAACACATAATATATAGTAACACATAATATATAACATACATATATATATATACACATATATATATGTATATATATATATGTATATGTATATGTATATATATATATACACAATCACATACATATGATAATAGGTTTAAATTGTTGCAAGTCTCCCAACGTGGAGCAAACAGCATCAACCCGTCACACCTTCAAATTTCATCAACTTTTGGGAAAAGACCACCTTTGATCATACAAACAAGAGTTCTAGTTCAGGATTTCGTCAGGGTGGAGTTCTCTAAAACCAACGCCTTCAAAGCAGTCTCCTACATTCTGTTTCTTAACTATCATCAAGATCATCAATGATAATGAAGTTATGTACTGTAGAATCTGTCAATCTGTTGAGAAGCTGCCAATGATTACCAGTGCGACATTTCCGGTCCAACTCTCACGCATGTCAGGGATCTAAACTGGGAAGCCGCTCCACCTTCCAATCTTAGGTCTGATCGCAGCACAAATCGGGTTTCGTACTTCACCTGGCGCATCTGAGGTGAAGTCGGTGAAGTCCCAAAAGCTGACACTGGCTGCAATCTTACCCTGCACCTCTTTCAGTTGTGGTAGAATCCACTGAAGACCTCAGAGGTGGCATTCACGGAGATCTCAGGAGTAGCCAGGGAAATGGCAGCCCAGCTTAGAAGAACCCATTTTGACTGCAACGGTGGTGGATGGAATCTGAGGCATTCATTCCACCAATTTTTCAGGACACTTCTGTTCTGAGATGTCAAAAACTCGTACGGCACTCCGTACTCAGGATCCCCGGGGATCCCCACGTACACCACCACAGCTGTGTAGCCGTCCCAAGTCCACTTCCCTGGAAGGCAAACTCTGGGTTGTTAGCTGTTCGATTCCCCAAAGTTGATGAATCCATATGAATCCCATCCCCCCAAAAAATTAAACATCTCATTTTTAGGGGCCCAATGATGTGGAAATTCCCTACTTTTTACCATGGTTTCTAGGTGCGTTTCTAGGTGGTCTTTAATTTTTTTTGGGGATGGGATTATGTCCAGGCAAAATTTGGCTCCGCACCACCAAGATCCACCGGCATGGAATTCTTCCAGGGCAATCTGTGGATGCCACCTCAGAGCCATGGCGAAAAACAGTGGGGTACCAATGGACCCATCGAAACTTATCAATTTCAATATAATTACCAGACCAGTGACTAGACTAGACCATATCAGATCTTTGAACTATTGGAGTGTAAATCATTTTGAGCCATACCCAAATCCTGCTTGCCCACTGAAAGAATCAGTGATGTCAGTTCTTTCTTTAATTCTGCGGTCTCTCAAAATACAAGGGATGGAGCAAGATAATCCACCAACCAGTGATGAAGCACTCGGGTCTCCAACCCATTTTGCACTTCCAGGGCTTTGTAGGACTCTTGCTCGTTGCTTGAAGCCTTGCCTTCGCCGCCGCTCGGCGGCCCGGAAACTCGCCAACTTCGTGAACTTGAAGCTGAAAAACTTCGATGCTTTTGGGATGCACGACTCAGCCGACACAGCTGTAAACAAATCAAAGCTCATCAAAGCTCCATGTTCATCAATAAACTTCAATAAACTTCATGGATTCTGGGGCGAAATGTCGTGAACTGGCAAAAAACGAGCGGCAGATTGCATGCTGAGTGGGGCAGTCAATGATCGCGCCACCTCAATACTGCATTGAAGCAAAACCAACATTCCTGAGATGTCTGAAAAAATCCCTGCTCTGACAGTTGTCTTTACCAAGAACTAGTAAGCGTGCTAGCACTGGCTAAATATGATGCTTTGCAGTTCGGCTCTGCAGCGCAATCAAGGGCATCAATCTCAGCTTTCTGCCAAGCTCCATGGCGTGGAAAGACCTGAAGCCAGGCGGCAAAGGGGCCCTGATGGGGGCAAGGACTCACTTATGGCATGGACTTTCAGACTCAACACACCTCTGCGCATAAGACAAGTAATTAACTGGCTGCGATGATGCCCTTGTTGATTCTTGCTAAAATAAAGCTACCCCATGTGCAAAATGGGCAATGGGTGTGCAGACTTCCAACCCTCCACAATTTGTTGGGTCCCAACCTGTCCATCAAGAAGGCAACATCTGTGTTGGCATGGCTTGTGCTCGACCTTGCAACCATGGAAGAAATCCTCAACCACCTTGGAAGGTTGAAACCCTATAAATAATGGGATGTTTACCATCTACCAACCGGTGCAGGATTTTGCTGGCCCATCCACAGTATCAAGGCGGAAAAGTCTCGTTCCTTTCAGGGTATGCAGCTACTGACTGGTGCCTGATGCTGATCTTGCTGCAGGATGCTTTCAGCAACTGTGAAAATTTTGTGGTGAACAACCAAAACGACCAGTCTGTTGGTTGCAACCCAGGCACAAGTATGAAGGGCCAAATCGAACATAAGCCTCGAATGCACGAGGCACTGCTCGCCAGTGAAATCTGAAAGGTCCTTAGGAAAACACCTCTTCAAACAAAGGACACATCCCACATGTAGGTTCAATATCAGCTGGGTGTATGTAAATTATGTAATATGAAATCAAAACCCATTGAAAGCCCGGCATGCGAGCCTCGTGTGCACCAAATTTGCGGCAAATCTGAGCAAACGTGTCCTGAACAAGCCGCAGGGATGCCAGGAGGGGTTCATCAACACTGCTCTATATCAAACACAAGCTAAGTGATGCAACAATGGCTACAACCCACTGAATTTAGAACGTGTCCTCGACCAAGTAGAAAGCAGGAATGTCATGCTCCTTTCTGGACCTGGAACAGCTTGGGCAATGAGATCAGATCACCATTTGACGCATCCTCTAGGCTTGACAAGGCAGCAATGTGAGTAAGCAACATTTTGACTGATCTAAAAACATGCAAAGTGATCAACATATGTATATATATAATATTATATATTATATATTATATATTATATATTATATATTATATATTATATATTATATATTATATATCATATATCATATATCATATTATATTATATATTTTATATTATATATTTTACGTATATATATATATTATATTATATTATAAATATATATTATAAATATATATATATAACTACATATATATATATATACATATTTGCACATTATTCAATCTTGCACCGCCATGCGAGGCTGATGCACTTGATGAACTGAATGAACATAGGGAAGCTCATACTGTCTGACACATCCCAAAAACGAGCGCCTTGCAGGCACCACAGGGCCAGTGCTACACAAACGAGCGCCCCTTTTGTGACACCTAAGAGGTGTCAGGGTCCCAAACAGAATTGCACGAATGATAACAACAGTGCAAGTAGTATCATAACATGAATAATAATCATTATATATATATATATATTATATATATATGCATATGATGTGTATATGATATGTATATACAATACAAATACATGTATAATGATGAAAACGACAACAAAAAATAAGAATAAGAATAATCATAACAGTAACAATCATCTTGATATTAATGGCGTTTATTGGGTATAATATATTGTGTACAATTACTTACTTTTATAAAGACACGCTGTGTATAATATATGTGTGTATAATATATATCTATAATACAATTAATTATATATAATGATACCCCCAGGCCGGCAGTGCGCCCAGAGGTTTATCATGTAACCACTTCTTTAATGTTTGTTTAGGGTTTGTTATGTTTATTTAGGGTTTCATTTATGGTTTTTAAGGTCTAACACTGTTTTATATAATAAGATTTTACTCTCAAGGCTTACTTAGGGTGTCATATCAGATTTAGGTCTTGGAAACAAATCTCGTCAGCCATTTGGGCAATCCGCCACCATCCCACAATGCATAAAACACTGGCCCTGTGCAGTCAAAACATACTTCCACGGGCAGCACCCCCGTCCTGGCTGTAATGATACATTTATACACAATACACAACCGTACATACATACAATACATGGGTATGGGTCAAAATTGGGTACCAATAATTGGATGGTTAATACTAAACTAGACTAACATCTGTGGTCCCCTGGGTCTTCCATTTTGACCCACATCCACATGGCTGGTAAAAATGGCACAAATGATATCAAATGATATCCACCGCATCAACTCTTCCAGGCGACTCCCGCGCTCTCTTCCACATCAACTTCTCCATCTTTTGGCTCACTTGCCCAGCTGTTTGCAGTAAATTTACAAACCTGCAACGGCTGGGTGGTTACATGGGATTTAACCGTCAACAATAGGGATATCATGGGGATATACTGGGTATTTATATGGATTTATGATGATTTATGGGGATATGGGATGTTTCTTACCAACCATACAGCTTGGAAATTGCAAACCACAACAGACACCACCTGCCTTCCTGCTCGCTCGCTGTCGGCGTTGAGCCACAGCTGGAAGGACCCCTGGAAGGCACAGATAGAAATTTAGTGCATGACCAATGTGGTAAACAAAATTCTGCAAAGAATCAATGTGGAACCCACACAAATTGCCAATTGTGGTAAACAAAATTTTGTGCATGACCAATGTGGGTCACCATTTTTCAATTTCCCATATTACCAAGGGTTTACCAAGGGGATGGTTCCACCAATTGAAAAATCACCATGTTTTGTGGCTGATGTGAGCCCGCAGTTTTTTCGTTCCACCTTCCAGTTCAGTTCGTCCAAGTCAGAAAAAACATCAACACGACAAATGTTGTGAAACCATTGAAAGAACGTGCTGACTGGAAACAACTGAAATTCAGTTGTGCCGATCCGGAATCATGTCATGATGCCACAACTCTGCCAAATGGCATGCCAAATGGCATATGGGGATGCGTCAAAACCCTATCCCCCTGGTGAACATCAAAATAGCTGGGATTTATGGATGTTCATCCCCCTAAAAATGGTATGTATAGGTATTGATCCATAGCCATATGATAATCATCAACTATTATGATTCTGACTTGAATAATCTTGAATGTTTACAGGGATTCCATCGGATCCCCATGATGGATTATGATCAAAACGCCAATCAATCGGTAGAAAAAACAAGCGAACCAATCATCAATCAGGGGTAAACACCACGCCTCGTTCTGACCTGGAGGATCTTTCCTGGAGGTCACAGATGGTCACAGTCTGTGAAGGACTTCGAAAAAAACATCGCATTCCACATCATTCCACGCAGCTGCAGTATTCAAGAATATCTTTAATTGAGGCGCACATCAGATCACATTCAAGCAATAATACAATAGAAGTATCTGGCCATTTTTTTTGGCAGCAGAGACTGGCCAATATGTATATCTATCTATCTATCTATCCATCCATCCATCCATCTATCTGTCTATCTATCTCTCTATCTCTCTATCTATCTCTCTATCTATCTCTCTATCTATCTCTCTATCTCTATCTATCTCTATCTATCTCTATCTATCTCTATCTATCTCTATCTATCTCTATCTATCTCTATCTATCTCTATCTATCTCTATCTATCTCTATCTATCTCTATCTATCTCTATCTATCTCTATCATTCTCTATCATTCTCTATCTATCTCTATCTATCTCTATCTATCTCTATCTATCTATCTCTATCTATCTCTATCTATCTCTATCTATCTCTATCTATCTCTATCTATCTCTATCTATCTCTATCTATCTCTATCTATCTCTTTCTATCTCTATCTATCTCTATCTATCTCTATCTATCTCTATCTATCTCTATCTATCTCTATCTATCTCTATTTATCTCTATCTATCTCTATCTATCTCTATCTATCTCTATCTATCTCTATCTATCTCTATCTATCTCTATCTATCTCTATCTATCTCTATCTATCTCTATCTATCCCTATCTATCTCTATCTATCTCTATCTATCTCTATCTATCTCTATCTATCTCTATCTATCTCTATCTATCTCTATCTATCTCTATCTATCTCTATCTATTTCTATCTCTATCTATCTCTATCTATCTCTCTATCTCTCTATCTATGTATCTATCTATCTATCTATCTCTCTATCTATCTATCTATCTATCTATCTATCTAATCTATATGATGTATATATCTATCTATATATGTATATACATAAATAAATACAAATAATATCAAATAATCACACATGATCACTAAAATCATTCCAAGATATTCCAAGACATCGACTATGCATCGGATCAAATGGCCACTGAGCTTCCCCAACAATTTCAATCTTCCTTCAGTCAAACCTTCTGCTGCTCGAGGAGTCCTTACGGGTCAAAAGCCTGAAACCCTTGTGAACCCCCAAATAGCTTGCATTTATGGGCATCTTTCCTCAAAATGGTATAGTAGGTTTTGATCCAAAGCCAACAACTGGGAAAAAGAGTTAGCATTGTGCTCCCCCGTCTTTCTCATCTAACCGCCCACATTATTATACAAGCAAATTCTATGGGGTTAATACTAAAGACAGGGGAGCAACACCTTATAGAAAACAATAGCATAAATCATAACAACAAAACAACAAAACAAAAACAAACAAACAACCTAAACAATACAATAGATTATAAAAAAGACTATACCATAAATCATAACAAACAACAATTTCACTTTTATAATTGTGAAATTATAAAATGAAATTTATGTTTGCTGTCAATAAGATTGTGTTAAAAATACTTGAGGTAATCAATTACTTCAAACCACAGGTTTTTGTGATACAAAATCCTCAATCAAATTTGTTGAAAGAACAGGAGTTTATGAAAAAACTTCCCTATTATGATTTAGACGTTTGTAAATATGGATTTGAATACAGGAGAAGCACTAGGCTTTGGACAAACTTGGAAGGGTGGCAACCCAGAGCATTGTGTAAAAGGGACTGTGGCAATGTAATAGAAAACAAACATATTGAAAAAGGGCAAAGGCTGCCATCAAATGAAATTCCTGAAGCATTGGTTCAAGAAATGTTCAGTGCTATAAATGTTGTGTGTTTTAGTTAGGGGTGTTCAGTGCTTGAAAATTGGTGTTTTCAGTGCTTGAAAACGGGTGTTTTCAGTGCTTGAAAACGGGTGTTTTCAGTGCTTGAAAATAGGTGTTTTCAGTGCTTGAAAATGGGTGTTCTCATTGCCTGAAAACTGGTGTTTTCAGGGTCTGAAAGTGTTTTTTGCCGTTTTCAGTGTCTGAAAATGGTTGTTTTCAAGGTCTGAAAATGGGTGTTCAAGGTCTGAAAATGGATTTGTGCGGGGTGTGTCTCAATACTACCTAGGCTGGATATTCCCATTATCTGGGCTGGATAATTCCATTATCTGGGCTAGTTTTTCTCAAAATCTAGGCTGGATAATCTGGATGGCTACAGCCTATACATTGGGATGTATAAGGTCTATACATTTACAGTAGATGTATAAAGTCTATACATTGGGATGTCTAGGGGCTGGACAATGGGTATTGAGCCTATGGACGTATTCAGCATTTGAATGCAGAATAAGGGTGTATTCGGATACTGAATACGGGGTATTCAGCATTTGAATACAGAATAAGGGTGTATCCGGATACTGAATACGGGGGGTTGTTATTATCTATAGGGTGGAGCACCCCTCCTTGCCTAAATTTTAGGCAATCCCTTTGCCTCAAATTTAGGCAACCCACTTGTCTAAAATTTAGGTAGTCCCTTTGCCTAAATCTTGGACTGGTAAGATGGAGAAATCCTGTTTATGGCATTGATTTTTCAATTATGTTTATGTATTGGCTTTACCATTGCCGAGGTCTGGCTTTATAGATAAATTATTTCAAAATTTATCTTAAAGTCCATCTCATAGGTTTTAGCATTACAACAGGCTTTTGAATGAGGGTAAGTGTATGGTTTGTTGTTTAAGGTTTTTGGTATAGTATTCTTTATGGTCTATTGTATTGTTTAGGTTGTTTGAGTCTTTTGTTTTGTTGTTTGTTGTTTTGATTTAGGTTATTGTTTTCTATAAGGTGTTGCTCCCCTGTCTTTGGTATTAACCCCATAGAATTTGCTTGTATAATAATGTGGGCGGTTAGATGAGAAAGACGGGGGAGCACAATGCTAACTAAAAGACCCGGATTTTCTGCTGGGATTCGCACTTGTCAGGACATGCACGCTTTAAGACCTCAAGGGGCAGTCACAAGGCACCAGTCAGCGGACTCATGAACTACCCCAAACCCGGCGACTGGCCTTTGTCTCGAGCAGCAAGTCATAGTCTCCAGCATCAGCTGACCGACCTTGTGTGGTTCAGAAAACACACATAATTATACAGATACACAAATGGGTATGGGTCAAAACCCTATCCCCCTGTAGTTCACATCAAAATAGCTGGGATTCATGGATGTTCATCCCCCTAAAAATGGTATGTATAGGTATTGATCCATAGCCATATGTCATCACCAATCGTACTAAAGGGAAGCATACCTCGATCCGTGACACCGTGACAACGCTTTTTGCTCCACAGTTGTGCCAGATGGCCAAGTTCTGCCCGAGCCCCAAGCTTGTTTTCTCCAGGCTGCCTGGCTGGGACATCGGGGACTAAGCATGGCTGCATTCTGAGCTGGATCCTTCCTCAACACATAAAAATCTATGAGGATTCCCTAACATCGTAAAGCACCTGATATATCACCATTAACCATAGGTATATCACCATTAACTATAGATATATCAGTGATGAAACTTCGCCAGAAAATGCAGAAAATTTCCTGCGGATCTTGTCCGATCATGTCATTCGCATGGCCTGCCAGGCATTGCTTCAGCATCCTTCGCAGAATGAGATCCTTCGAGAAGCGTTTGGCCAGCGCCTGACAGTTTCGCAAATCTATGGCACAACATTTGCATGCCCAACTCCTTTTTTTCCCGGGTGAAACATCATTGCTAAAATAGAAATTGCATTTACACACATATCTATCCATTTCGACGGACTTGATCTTTGCAAGGATCACACAGACTGTTTTCACTCCTGTGTCTATTTTGCTGCCTGGTGGCAATTGCCATTGACTTCCATTAGACATATACTCTCCTACATTGATACTTCACACTTTGAACTTTGAACAAATCCACAGCGGATATCTGAAGTCCCACGTCCCTTTGGAAATTCGGAGGGTGCCAGGGCGCACCCGAAGGAAGTCCAAAGCTTCGCTGGAACCTTTGGGCCGCGACAGGACTTCCAAACCTCGACGTTGTCCTGGCGCTATGGACGCGAAATGCTATGGTTTCACCATTTCATGTTGGTTGTAATGGTGAGGTTATTATTAAATGGTCATTAAATGGTTAGTTCATAGTCAACAAAAATGCTATGGTTTAACCATTGAAATGTTGGTTATAATGGTGAACTAATGGTCAATCAGCAGCTAGTCAATGGTTGAATGTCAGCTAATGGTTAGTGAATGGTAAATCAACGGTCAGGGTATAACTGTATATATATATATAACGTATAACCAACAATAGTGGATGATTAACGAAGAATTGATGGATCATTGGAATAGTGGAGGAAACCCTGGCTGCCATAAAAAAAAAAAACGATCATGATTGGGGATTTAGTAAACATATAGCAGCCATTTATATATGCTGATGGCGACCCTGTATGGTAAACATGACATTTTTTGTGGATCGGTTAAACCAATGGGATGATCAGCAACAAGTAGACCAACGAAACCAGAGTGCTACATAATGCTATATATTATATTGTGTTTGGCTGTTTCATTCAAACATCAAGGAAGAGACTCTCATGTAACAACAAGATTCATATGATCATCATCGTCATCATCATCATCATCATCATCATATGTAAATAATATGTAAATAATAAGTAAATAATATGTAAATATATACCCACCATATATGGAGGTTTTCCAATTCATGGGACCCGAAATCATCCAGTCATTGCGCCTCGCGGGGTGATGGGAGGCGCTGGCAACGTATCCGTGACCTTCCAGGCTGGTGACCGTTGGTTCAAACATATCGAAACACGGTGAGAACATGGAGAAACATGGGATAAACTCGATGGGATATACTGGATAATTATACCAATTGTCAATTTTATCATGTTTTGGCACTTTAAAGAGTGAAACTATGTTAACATAATGTTAACATGATGATTGACCAGTGGACACACCAATTCCAAATGGTTCTAGACTATTCTAGATCATATTTGGCGACCATGAAAAAACCTGACCTCAGGACGTAACAACTGGTGATGCACCAAGCCAAAGAGTGCATCTGGCATTGCATCTTTTTTCAACAATCATTTGGCAAGCGTCTGCGTGCGCGGAGGGTAGCTCGCCTGAGCATTTCAAACAATGCAGTGGCACCAAATCATCCAACAGTAATGTTGAAGCACAGCAGTCCATGGTCTTCAGTGACCTCAAGCAGCTACAAGCACAAAGAACGTCCATCACCTTTTAAACATTGCATTGACCGCATCAACCCGGAGCTGTGGCCCATCCATATCATCCATGGCCCATAGCCATAGCCCATTTCTGTTGAAGTGGCGTGAAGATAAATACCACCAGCCACCAAAGGCACCGCTGCCAGAACTGACCACCTGGGGCACAGTGGACCGGGTCCAGAAGGTCACTCTCGATGTCACGACAGATGTCACAAGTTTCGTACGAGAGGTGCATGCCCAGCAGGATCTGTTGAAGCCTTAGTCACTTAGTCGCCAGAGGCGAGCAGCTCTGCATGGCTCTGCAACTTGGCCATGACTAAAAAAAAAATCCTTCAAGTCAAAGAGTCCAGGACTTGCCCTAGGTATCCCTAGGTGAATACCCCCAAATCATCCAAGTTATTGCTACTTTTTCTGGGGAACTACTGGTTCCTGATGCGAACTGAGCTTCCTGGCAAGCAAGTGAGGATCAAGCCACAAATGGTTGCCATCACCTTCCGCACACCGCCAGCCTCAGGAAAACATCAAACGGAGGATACCAACATGTTTCAGGAACAGGACTTGTGTGCACGCACTGCCAAATATAGCGGCTAAACGCATGTTTTGCATTGTTTTACTATATTATATATACAAGATTGTACAAGAGGGATCTAAAACAGCGTCACTTCCGCATGCAGAGTCAGATCTGACCCCACGACCCAGTCACAGCAACGACACAGCGGTGTATCTTGGCCGACGACTAGCTGCGTGACAATTCCCACGATGATCCCAGAGAGACCTTGAGTGAGTACCTAGGAGCGCTAAACATCCACGGCTGCAATCTATATATTCCTGTCTTGATTCGAAATGCAAAGATATGTAAAGCATCAAGTCTCAAGCCACATCCATAAAAGAGATTGGCACAAAGAAAGTAACTGGCACAGATTGGCACTATCATACCCACGGACCTGTAATGTTGATGACCATTGCGTAGCTAGGGCGACCACTGGAATCACTGTTGTTACTTCCCAGCCAAGGAAAAAGCCGCTCTCCTTCATCCTGAGCCGCGTCCAAACCCTCCAACTTGGCCATGAAACTTCGTGAAACTTCGTGAAATGTGGCCTGTTTTGGTGAAACGACCTATTTTGAGACTACCAACACCATCCAAAACCATCCACCTGTCTCAAGTTGAACTCCGGGAATCTGCAGAAATCATTGCATGCCCAATGTCATCAATGCTCCTGAAACCTCACCTCTTCAATCCTCTTCATATCATTTCCGGATCGCTACATGAATTTACTACCTGCATGGCCACCAAAATTTCGACCTCCATGAATTCCGCGGCTCCTCACAGCGTCCGGTGACAAACCCAGCAGCAAGGTAAGGATGAGGATTATGCCTGGGCCATGGCTTGAATAGATACAATTCGATCATCATCCAAATATGGGTATGGATCAATACCTATTAATACCATTTTTAGTGGGATGAACATCCATTTACCAGCTATTTTGGGGTTCACGGCACGGTACCAGGGTTTTGACCCATCCCCATATGTAAAACAAATCATTCAATAAATCGGAATAAATCTAGAAACAAACAAGCAGATCTTCTCAAGTCACAGAACGAAGTTGGGATTCAAGAAACATCAAGAAACAAGATCTGTTTCAGTGCAACTGGGCAACCTTCACAGGGTGTACCGTACGACTGGACAGCTCCTTTTTAAATGGGCAAAAACATCATTGCACGACCTGAAGATCAATGGGGAAAAGGGGGACGTCCCTGCACTTTTTTGCCATCAAGTCCGCTCTCCAAAGTTCCGCAACGGCGCTCTTGCACGAGGTGCAGTGACTTCTGCAAACAACGGTTGAATCCCTTACTTCGCAATTTGTCCTGGCAGTGAGATCACTTTGGCTACCTTCTGCTGCTTCATAAGCGGATTAGCGATATTTCTGACCATGCCCATAAGAATAAGATAGAAGTAAATCTTCTACCCAAATCACAGCAAACGTGCCACAGCGAAAACAGTCAGACTTGGAACTTTGACCACCGTTTCGATTGGTCGACTTGAAATGGAAGAAGAATCGCGATGGCTCGCTGTTTTGGGCTTGTCCAGAATTGGGGTAGCCGCGTAGTCCCAATATGATGGCCAGTTGAATAATTAGGAAACATGATTAGACACCGTTTCATCAACCATCAAAATTCGGGGTGTCCACCAATATTGAGACAAACCCATCTTCAAGATCTTCACTTGCTAACAACTTCTTCAGCGCCAGCAGTGCAATATAAAAGTTTCGCAAATGATAAAATCCAAAAGCAAAAACCACACGAGAAATCATGGAACTCTTGGCATCGGCAAGGTCGTCCCCCTCTCGGTGTTTGATTGCTCAAACAGCAAAAAAGTCTAACTCTGTAACAATTGGATCATGTGGGCAGGAAATCGAATCCATGCCTGTTGCAGGCCCATGCCCAAGCTTTCCAACTCTTCTAGTTTACACACATACATTTTCAAACATGTTTGCCACATTTTGCCACTGTTTGGCTAGTTCTAGAATGATCTGTTCATCATCTTGTGATCTTTTTTCTGATCATTGGACAGCTTGAGGAAGGCAATCACTGCTGATCAACTTTCAAAGACATTGAACGGCCAAGGGTAAAATGTCATCACAGGTGAAGGAGTTGACGTTCGACTGACTTCCCTTTCGCCATCAAAGGACAGTGGCGAGAGCCATGAACAAAACTGGGACTTTCAGCAGGAATGGCAGTCTCCTCCAGTGACTCGGAATAGGGACCCCTGACGATGTCGATAAACTTCTCAAAGTCTAATGGATAGTCCTTCACTCGCTCCAGGAACAGTTTCAATTCCTTAGCATGCTGTTCGGCCGGAGCATGCTGAGCACGCCGAGCACGCCGGCGCTTCGTCGACTTTCTGGACGCGACGAAGAAACCATCCCGTGGCATGTGGGACGGCAACGGTGTGGCCCTCCCAGGCTCACAGAATAGTTTGATCCATAACTCAGGGATAGTGAGCAAAGGGTGAGCAAAGGGGTCAAGCAGGGGACGAGGACACGATTTGCCATCATTGATACCACCAATAGCAGCTATGATCAGTCAAGGGGCATCCCATACTGGCCAGCTCAAGGGATAAGAGGAAGCTGTTGCGTCCATGTTTCTGCAAGGCCCATTCCTCGGCGAAGAGTGTCTTTTTTTTTATCCTGCACCAGTTTTTATTGAAAAAACATCCATTACAATCCCATTTTTTCACAGTTTCATAGTTACCTAATAGTTACCAACTGGTGCTGGATTTCTCCACAGAATCCACAGTATTCTCATGGGACCCAGCTGCACAAGACATTCTCCTCCATCTCCTCTAAGATCAAAGACTGTGCCATACTGAAATCTTTCCGCGGCCACATGCCATCTTAAGAATGCTTCAGGTTCAAAGGTTGCATGGTATATATCATGGTATATTCATGGTATATTCATTCAGTGACCAACGCCTTGCAGTTCCAGGTAAAACCCTGGCCCGAGTTTCGGTGATGCCGCTGCCTAACCCAGAGAGGCCACTGGCCAAGACAGCACAAAAGAGTCCCCAGGGACGGTTCTCCTCCGGCGGGGCTGACTGAAAATTGAATACCCCATTTCATCCACTGGCTCATCATTATTTGGGGGGTATATCATGGGTATATCCGATTTTAATAAACATACCCATATATAATCTATAGATATGGATCTATCCGATTCATCTATATATAATCCATATTGTTGGTTCTATGTATTCCCGCAATATGTATGTGTTTCATCCTCATAGATGAATCTCATTGATTTTCTGGTTCTTTTTCCATGATATCTCGGTTGATGATTTCAACATATTTTATCATTGTCGTCAAGATGATGTTCCTTCCCCTATATATATATACATAGATGATATATATTTTTCCATGTATATATATATATATAGAGAAAAATGTGTGTTCCCAGTTATCGATAATATATATATATATATATATCATTTCCTACTAAAGGCAACCCCTACTAGCTGGAGCTTTCCAATTCATGGGGGTACCCCCAAATCATCCAGATCCACCACGACTCGGTAAACCCGTGCTGACTTGGGGATCCCCAGCAAGTCCCACACCTGGTGCTCGCCATCAGATACTGATCCACCCGGCAGGCTGACCTTGAGATCTGCGTAACTGATGCAGCTTTGGGAATGCACCAGCGGCATCTCTATTTACGTACTTACATACAATGTAATATATATATATATATATATGTATATATACAAACAAAATACTTTATGTAATATCTTATATACTAGTGTCATATATACATATATAAATGAGTATACACACATATATATATATACACACATACTATACACAATATGTAGTCAGCTGTGAAGCTGGAACATGTTTTTCTGCTTTGCAACGAAAGCTTCATCAGGTTGGGCCTGGACCTGTGCTCAAGACCCTGGAACACTAGTTTCCTCTAACAATGGGTGATTGTGTAGTTGGGTAATTGGGGTCTATGTTGATTGGGGGGATGATAAACGAACTCCACATATCAATATCAATATATATATATATAATATCATTTTTTTCACTAGCCTTCAAAGCCTGACGAATGGAGCAGTGAACCAATTAGGATCAATTATTCATTAATCAGCCATAAATGAGGTGATGTCACCATCATTTCTAAGGGTTTTCACCATCATTTCATGGGGAGATTGGTCGCTGCTGAAACTTGGCTCCCCGGCTAAAATGCCACCGGCGGTGACCAGGAGCAGAGCCACACACTGGTAGGAGGACTGAGTCCTGTTTGGAGCGCCACTCGGTCTAGGTGGCCTTGCTGGCCTTGCATTGATCATCATCAATGAAATGACTTGGCCATTGCAATCCGGAAGATTCTTGATGGGAAAAAACCCAGCAAGTGGGTTATAGGTTATACCATATATACCATGTTATAAGCCCAGTTGGTTGGGTAAGTAGGGCGCGGCTAGTCGAGTTATAACTGGGGTTAACTGGGGTGAACCACCAAGTAGAATGAAGGATGATACTGAGGTACCCTCTGGTAATCAAACATGGCAATGGGACATCCATAAACAAAATGGAGGGTTTACTGGGAAAATCATCTGACAAGGTATTTTCCACTGCCGGGTTTGGTTATCAGAGGATAAACAAGATCTTTGGATATATTTTATTCTTTGATATTCTTTGTTTTCTAAACTTCTTGGTCCTGCCGTTCAGGAGAAAGGAGAAGAGCGCAGTAAACAGCACCTTGGACTGATTTAGGACCTCAGTGCCGCTCTGGATTTCCATAACTTCAACTTGGATTTACTAAATGTCTCAGTGCTAGGGTCAAAACAGGCTATTTTTCGGCTATGGCATGGTATGGCTATTCCATCCCATAGCGAGAATCCTTTCTCGGATTGAGAAAAACGTCCCCCAAGATGGAACAAAAACAATCCAACTTCTGAGCATGGAAGAAAATTGTCAACTGGTTGATGTTTTCAAAGCTGAACAAAAACTGATGATTTTTTGGGGTGGATCATCATCACCATCGATGGTTGTTTCACCAATACATCAACCAGTTCTGAGATGGATCATCTTCACCACGATGTTTTCACTGTGGCTCAGGCATTGAAAACCACGCCATCCAGATTTTGGTACGCAACCTGTGCAGAGTATTGCCTTGGGAACCCCAATTTCTGGGGCCATCTCAGACCCATGGCACTAAGAATACTAAGAATATGTGCAGCAGTCGTATGTGGACTATGATTAATACATGTTAATCACATTAATACCATCAACCTGCTCCTACAAAGGACTATATCATGACTGTCCATTCCGAATTCCTGCATATCGACGGTCAACTAGGCATTAATACGTTGACACAATTCCACTTCTGCTTCAAAGCGCCGACACCAATGTCCAAACCGTATAATACAATCCAACTAATATCCAATGTGCATAATGTGCCCGGACTCAGATATTGTCTGAAATCAATCTTTATACTTTATACTGTACATCTTTACAAATTATACACAGGTTATTGATCATGATTCCTGATTTTCCATACTTGACAGAGCTTCCCTTTGTCACACTCATTCAAAATGGTCGGGGCCCACGCCTGTACACAGTAGTTCTGTATGAGATAGGTAACCGATGGAATGCCTGGCTTTTTCCGCCACCAGCATCAGTTTGGATGTCAAAGGCAACTTGTTTTCTTGTCCCTGGATCCCTATAGGCCCTATGGCCTGCTGCCACTAGACAATCCTGCATTTTCCAATTGCTAAAACAGCGCTTTCCTGTTTCGTCGGAAAACCTCAGCAACAAGAAGACCATTTAATTTGGTGCTGGGAGGACTCAACGGGGCACCCGCTCTCGTCACACTGACCATGATCTATAAGAATATCTAAGATTCAGACATGATGAACAAGCAGCCCACCTTTGGCCGGGGTCACATGTAGTCGCAGCTATTCGCAGCTCGTGTCTTCAAACCCTTCGTCCAGGTTGAAACAATGAGCTCCGCACTACTTTGGCCATTTCAGCACAAAGGACAACTGAACTTGTCCTCAGGATTGAGGCTTGGTGGAGTGTCAGCTGGCTGGAAGGTACAAGTGATGCCATTCATAGGACTGGAAAAGAAATCTTTAATGACTTCAAAATACAGTACTTCAAAGCTTGTCACTGAAGCCTCCGTCAAGTATGCACTGCAAATGATAAGCCCCCACACACACAAAATCAACCGCGCTTTGTATTAGTGAAAGGATTGCTTTAGGGTCAATGCATGACACGTCTATCCGCTGATGCAAATGACATATCTATTGACTCCCGTTGCATGGATGGTATGGTATGCTGGCTAAGGTCATCACATGCATTGCTTGTCTATAAACTGCTTCACAAGCAATGGCTGAACACCTGGCCCACCAACTTCAATGCATTGCAAAAAACATCAAACTTATCGTGCCATGATGCCTGGTGCAAATTGGTGCAAATATCCAGCCAACATGGAAACCATACTTCCTGTTGCAACCTCCTGTGATGTGCTTGTTTTGACCCAATCACTTGTTGCTCTATCCGGCCAAATCGGGGCCAGTGAGGCCAAATTGAATGGAAATGATGGTCAAGTACCTGCAAAGATTTGAAGAACTCAAAGCGGTGCTTCGAAGATGCTCCGAGCGTGCCAAGGCTTTTCTTTGTAGGAACAATGCAGTTTCACTGTAATGTGAGTGAGCAGTGAGCTTCAAAGAAACGCATCTCTGCATTTTATTTCGACCAACCTTTTTGGATTTCACTGTGGGAGGAAAAACACGCGCACCCCAAGCCATTTCGCGCTCTCAAAAGCCTCGGCCAACAGCATTTCCATTGGGCCACCGCACATTTGACAAGGACTCGATTAAGTGAGTGATTGGAAGTAGCACAATGTAGCACATATATGTATAATATATTTAATTTATATATACATATATATATATATATACATACTGGAATCCAAAACTCGGTGAACAGAAAAATACCTACCTGTTTCACATTTCCTGACCTAGAGACTGTGGATTAAGCGCGCGTAAAATTGGGTCATTAATAGCGCAAAAGTTGGGGTCACTAAGCGCGCATAAACCAGGTCATTCCAAGCGCAGAAGAGTTGTATATATTATATATATATATTATATTAAATATATATATTATTATTATTATTATTATTATTATTATTATTATTATTATATATATATATATTTCAAAAATAATCGCAGGTTACGGGAGGTTACGGGAAGTTACGGGAGGTTACGGGAGGTTACGGGAGATTACGGTTACGGGAGGTTACGGGAGGTTACGGGAGGTTACGGTTACGGGAGGTTACGGGAGGTTACGGGGTAACCAAGCTAGGAACCTCGAAGATATAATTTAATCTAGCAAGTGTTTCTACGCACTTTGTAATCACCATTAAACGTAATTAGTAGACTTATGCGCAATTAGTGACGCATTAGACGCTATTAATGCCGTTTAACCGCAATTAATACGTAGACTTACCTATGACAATTCGAACTTTCGAACGACCTTTCACCCCTGATTCATGACATTGCAAAGCGCAAACAATAAAACCGATCAATTGACATTGCACATTGTCAGTGATTCTTGCTGCTTCGCTCCTGTAGTACTCACGCTGTAACTACTCTGATCTGGGGTGATCGGGTGATCTTCTAACTGCACCCCTATCTATATATATATATATGTGATAAGAGGTATGGTACAGCGCAATCACTAACATGCCGTGGCATACACTGGGTGCCGTACTGTGAAGCATTTGGAAACACCATTGCAAATGTCCCAGTGGCGTCAGTTTGTTCAAAGCATTCATGCACGGGACATCAAAATATTGTAGTTACTTGAGTGACTGCGGCCTTGCTTTGGGGTGGCTATGTGCCTGACATTTTGAAGCAAGGCAGGCTGCTTGCCGATACCAATTCTACAACGGCACCTTGTAGAAAAACTCACACATAGCAAAACAATCACATGTGCATTTTGCACCTCTGAGAAGCATCCTGATCATTGTGTCTGACATGACAGCTCTAGTGACAACATCTACCTAAATGTTCCATATTTCGCTGCATGTGTAGAGACATGTAGAGACAGCTACTACTTTGAGCTTTGCTTGAATCTGGCCAAGCAATTCTGTACCCAAAGTGGTTCATATCCATAGCATCAACACTGATGAGCTGTAAAATGCAGCGGAAACCCACACACTAGTCACTAGTAGCTTTTTGGGGTATTGCTCCTTGCATCTCTTTCTCATATATGCCCATTGTCTCAATGAACCCAAGTAGTTTGACAAAATCACCAGTGGCTTGATTATTAAAGAACACATGGCAAAAAGATGTAAAAACTCAATGTGTTTTAATCTTTCGTGGACAAATGGGGGAGTCCCTAAGGAGCCAAGTTCTGCGCCCCCCGTCCATGGCTTGGGCCTTGCCGAGAGGGTCCTCACAAGTGGCTACCAGGCCCAAGGCAAGTAAAGGACTCCAGCAGGTCAACAGTAGAGTTTTATCTAAATGGCTATTTTGATATGATTCATGATAAATTGATACGGCGTTTCATATTAATTACAGAATATGTTGCTTGATATGGTCATTGATGATCTATAGAAACTATAGCTTTTCAACATGCCGCGCTAGCTAGGTCCCATTGCAGGCCGGCTGGAATCCTGCCTATTTGCAGTATTGGTGTCATGCTTTGGTGAAGCAATTTTCCATGGATCGGACAGTGTTAGTTTATCGCTGCAACAACTTGTTTTGAACTAAGGACCAAAATGCAGGGATTTTTTCTCACCCTTTCACAACCTAGTGGACCTGGATCAACATCTTCCGTGTCACACCGCTTTAGCCTCTCTCTGCTTGCAAATGTGTGCAAATTGCAACACTACTTTTGATACTTTTGATACACATCTGGGCTGATTGATAGGGATTCCCATTTTACTGGGCGAAAAGAATTCTTAATAGAGCCGTGCCTTTTTTGATTGCTAGAGGCCTATACACTGATGGGGGGGCTTGGGGCTTCGCCGGGCTTTGCGAAACAGGGCCTGGAATTCTAGGACGGCCTGCGTCTGGTGATACGTTTGAAGACCTTTGAGGCGACATTTGAGCGGCGTTTGAAGACAAACGCAGAGCACCAGTGCCAGAAACAGAGCTATAACCATCATGTACTAGTATATCTAAGATTATCTTTATATCTGCTTTGGCGAAATGCCTTCGCATGGGTCAAATCTAGAAGCTTACGCCGAGAGGCTTCGCAAGCCTTCGCGGATTGACACGTATCACACAAATGCCTTCGCGGTCATATGTTGAGTTCCCTCGTCATAAAAAATCCATCATTTCAAAAAAACAACGCTGCTCAATCAACATCAATAAACTAGGCAGTACAATAAACCAGGTGCGACGTTGCGAGCAGTACACTAATCCAGGCAGTATAACTTAGTATAACCTCATATACTGCCAGTAGTAGCATAAATAACCCACTAGTTTTCGTCATAAACCAGGTAATTAGCATTGCAAACGTATTATTACATACAATGTCAGCAGTTAGCAAAATCAAATCCTGCCCAAATTACCATCTTTATGGGTGGTATAAACCATCAAGTTATATGGGTGGTTTATGACATTGCCAGGCCTCCAATGGCGAACCAGCAGGTCTCCATGGTTCCTTTCGTGCACTCCTGGCGCAGTGATGCGCAGTGCCAATGGGTGTAGATGGGCCATAGCATGGCATAGCACAAACAATAGCGATCTTAGTATGGTCTAGTCTGAAATGGCTCAATCTGAATATTTTGGATATTTTCTAATCTGGAAATGACGATTGAGCCATTGATAAACCACTGGATTTGGGTTAAACAGAGCTGCAGCCGAGGCCTTGGTCGAGTAGTTGGCTTGTCAGGCGCCTCATTGGGAGAAAAGGTCTCCAGGTGCAACTGCTTTCCCAAACCATAGGGGACCCCAAATTCCACTGGTAAATCATCATTATCATCATTTTTCCTACTGAAACTGCCATTTCAGGGGTCTACCGATGTCAGACATAGCCAAATGTCCCGTGGATTTTCAGCATGTCCAAATGTTATTTCCGAGCCCATGACCTTCTGCTTGCCCTCCTTGCGTTTACGAAGAAACTCTTCAAGGCTTTCAAGCACCTACGGCTGCTGAGGTTGAAACCATCATAAGTCTCTGTCATTCCAGTCATTTCACAAATGGCGGCAACTAGGATTTATGGGTACATATATATATATATATATATATAATAGGATTTATGGTGATACAGTATATGGTGATTTAAGGGGAATGTATATATATATATATATTATAATATATATGTTTCAGTTTCAGAAAGGCTAGGGTCCGTGTCAGCTGCTGGAGTTCTGAAATTGACACGCCAAGCAAGCGCCTGTCTGTCGGAATGGCCGCGAACCTGCAAAGCCCCCGCAAAAAAAACAACAACAGGGACTAGAGTGACTAGATAGGGACCTGAATTGGTGTTTGCAAATAATTAATGCATGGAGCTGATTCACTTGCGATTCTGTGCACTTGCTATCGAGTAACAAGTGCCATCCTATCTACAAGCTGTTTTCAGGTCACGCAGCAAACAGTCACGTCTGACCCAGAGTTCACAGGAGTTTTTCAAAAGTCAGGGAGGTGTCCTCATGACCTGAAAATCACTGAGCTTGTCCCACATGGCAGTTGGAACGGACTGCGAGGGGCATGGTCAGCCAAAAGTTGAACCTGGCCCAGCTGAACGCTGTTCACAACGACTGTGGGATGAAAGTGAGTCAAACTGGCCTTTGCTGAGGCAACCATGAGGAGAATTTTACGTCAGACTATCCTGAGGAAGAGTTTCCCTCTTCACCATTTATTGGAGAAATTGTTTGAAAGTACGTAATTGTGCAGTTTTTTTTGGGGGGCCAGAAACAAAAGCTATGGATTTGGATGCATTTGGCTGGTCAAATGGACTGTCACTTGTTGCATGCCGATGTTGCAAGACTTTGAGGTCAAGGGTTTCGTAGCCAAACTTCTTGATGAAGGCATCGGACACCTTGCCAGTCAAAGACATTTGATGCCAGGTTTTGCGTGTCCTGCCCTTTCCCGAAGTCAGTAAAGGTCATAAGTCAGAAAGGAATTGACATAAATATACGTGATAAATATACATTGCAGATACGTATATAATTGATCATAATTGTACTGTATGTATTAATATATACAGTATATATATATATATATATAAACATAATCATACATATGGTTATGGCCCATAGTGGCTCAAAAAACGGGTATGGACTGTCCCTCGGTGATCCATACCTATGAATTGGCGTGGATCACCTTTGTTTTGGTATTGATCGGGGGGTATTGATCACCTGCGGGTTTTAACCCTTGATCCGGACCTCGAACTTTGAGCCGCGGCCATCTGTAGATAATATTAGATAATTAATACATATACATACTACATACCATGAATTGTATTGAACTGGGCTCGCTTCTGGGTGGTTGCACACTTTCACTTTCATCTCTGCCTGGTTTGAGCCTGGGCTTCCGAGCTCGTTCAGCCAAATAGCGACCCGAAAGACGCTCCTGTTCTTAGATGTTTTTAGGACAAGCTGAATCCAATGACACTGGCGAAAGCCTGGAAAGGTTGGGGGAACGCCAGTTGAAACAAAGAAAACCAGTGACACAGCCTCTGGGCAAAACCTGATGTCTGATATGGAAAATATGATCTCCTGAACAGCGTTTGCGACACGGCCGGGAGCAGAGCCCAATCCGAAGGATTCCTGGGTCGCAGACAGGTTCCCATCTTATTTGAGTATGGATGGTCAGAACCCCTGATGCTTATCCTCCGCACAAACACTGCATTCTTGGCATTTCACATTGATTCACATCATATGTATATTTTGATATATAGTTTGTATAGGGATGTATAGGGTTTAGGGTGTCGGGTTTTAGGTTTCATTACTAGTGGATTTCAATTCAGGAGTTTTAGATTTTGCAACACTGTGATCTTGCACCAGACAACTGACGGGAAAACACAATTTCCTGTTGTCTGCAAGGAGTATTAAGAAGGCAACACTGATAAATATCATGGTTGATCTTGTTTCATCCTATATATATATATATATTTCTGTCTTGCAGTCCTACGTGTCATGTGGGAACAGGTGTCAACCGCCCGGCCTTGTCCTTCAGTCGCTGCCAAAAGTTCACCAAATTTAGCTCCTGCACCGTGCTTTCTGAATTGGTGGGTTGGGGGAAGTGACACCTCTCAGTACAGTGAATTGTTTTGAGGATTACCACCTGGGACCTTCGTCATCAAACATGGTTTTTGAAACTGAGCTAGACCATGCACTGAGTCAAATACACAAGGGACCAAGGACAAACATGGACAAACAAGATCTTAGAGTTTCATTGAGTTTTCTGTCCCAACCATTCCCAACCATTCCCAAACTGCTCCGAAGCATCTCCCAGCGTCCGCCAACCCACTTTGGGCGCACCTCTAATGGACGACCCTCATACCATCGCGAGCCTTCTGACTGACCAAACGGATCAGATCTTCTCAGCAATTCGATGGAGGCATTTTGAGGATCACCATCACAGAGGATGGCGAAATCAATCAGCCGCGAGACAAACATGTCCTGGCAAAAACGACATCCGAAAAAAACATGCAATGGGAAAAGGCTTTGTATAATGGCGAACATTATAGACATCTTTCATCATTTTCAACATAATCATCATAATCGTCATAACTAGCATGATTATCATACTACCATTATTGTTGTCACCACTATCATAATTAATCATAATAACATTGATAATTAATCATCATCGTCGTCATCGTCATCGTCATGGTCATCATCATCGTCATCATCGTCATCATCGTCATCGTCATCATCGTCATCATCGTCATCATCGTCATCATCGTCATCATCGTCATCATCGTCATCATCGTCATCGTCGTCATCATCGTCATCATCGTCGTCATCATCATCATCATCATCATCAATATCAATATTGAACCACACATCATTACATGTACAGTCTTCAGTATTGCCAAATGCTGGGAAGCCGTCATCAAGCCAGGCCAGCAGCTCGTCGGGCAACATGGTGTGCTTGCTCACGGCAGGAGACCTGATGGTTTCTGACAATTTCTGCCTGGCACTGACCTTTTTTAAAAAATATATGTTTTCCCTCTGGATGGAAGAATTGGAAGTAGATTGGAGGCAAAACTGGCGAAACTCATGACTTAGGAACACCTGGCAATTAACCTCCTATATCGATACCAATCTAAACTTTAAATCTTCAAACTATTATCTATCTTGAACAGCACCAGGTTGGGAGTTGGGCCTTGGATACAGCCGTTCGCGCACCTCTCGGGATAGCGCCTGCGATGAACAAAAAACATGTGGGGCGGTCAAAACATCCTGAGCCCTTTCAAATGGTGTTTCCACATGTTATTGTTGTTTGTTTTTTTAAAGTTGTTTTTCCCTCTGATCGTTTTCCCAGTGCTGGCTTCACACCTTGATCAAAGAATTCATATGGTGCTTTCTTTGTGAGATGTCAGCTTACAACCACCAGATTTACACGTGCTTTTGCGAGAAATCGCGTGCAAAGTTGGAATGATGTGCCGCGATTTTTCCCATCGCAGGAGAGTTCTTCGATTTTCTTCACCAAACTCAGTGAACAATCTCGCAGCGGCCACTTAAAACAGATCTTTTCATCCCAAATCACACGGATTGGGGATGGTGATTGATCGGATTGACTGGCCATCACCGAGCCCGTCAGAACCAAGCCGCTTGGTCGGAGAATTCATCCCCACAGTACCGGTGATCTCAAAAAAGACTCAAAAATCTGTTTGCTTCGCTAGAAATCGTTCAAAATTCACATGGAAAAGAAAATCACTCCAACATGTTTCCCCCTGTCATCATTTCTTTTGAGGTATTCCTATGTGATGGGCTTGTCGTATGTCATATTCCATCTGCTCCAGGGCATGCCGCGGCTCCCTGCGGTGGTTCTGTGGATGGCTCCCCTCACTGAAATGCCTTGCCGTGTGCAGTCCATGCCCGTGCCCATGTCCACAGATCCCCAATCATGGATCATGAAATATCATGAAATGGTGACACATATATGATCTCAAATTCCACTCTACATGAAATCAATTGAGATCACATAAATGTATATATATATACATTATGTACATATTACATATACATAAAATATGTTGTTTTCGCTACTTTTATTTATCTTGCACGGTGTTTCCTTAAAAACATGATACAAGTACTTTTGATGAATGTCTGCACCTCCTCCACCATACCGCAGCAATGCTTCCGGAGGCTGAAGTGCAGGTCGCAGCTATCACCCACCTGGCGCACAGCTCCGCAAGTACCATTCAGGTTTGAAGTTTCAGTGAAACTGCGGTTCAAAAATCCATGAATTTAGCATAAATTTAGATATATATATATATACATATTACATGTATACTAACACATATATATATATATTGAATATTGTAATACTATGTAGATATTCAATGATATAAAACTAGAAAGCAAAAACCATGAGTCCACCAATCAGTCTCTGCCAGCTTCCCGATGACCATGATGACCTGGTCGAGCTGCCAGCTGCACTCTGAGGGTTTCACCTTGAAATCCAGGAGGGGCTTCCGTTCTCACATCAGGTTGACATCTTGTACCACATAAAATTAGATGTATATATCAATATATATCAATATATATCAATATATATATATATCAATATATATATCAATATATATATATATCAATATATATCAATATATATCAATATATATATATATATCAATATATATCAATATATATCAATATATATCAATATATATATATATCAATATATATCAATATATATCAATATATATATATATATCAATATATATATCAATATATATCAATGTATGTATGTATGTATGTATGTATGTATGTATGTATGTATGTATGTATGTATGTATGTATGTATGTATGTATGTATGTATGTATGTATGTATGTATGTATGTATGTATGTATGTATTATGTATGTATGTATGTATGTATGTATGTATGTATGTATGTATGTATGTATGTATGTATGTATGTATGTATGTATGTATACCACATAAAATTAGATGTATATATAATTATATATATATATATAATGTATATCATGTGTGTATATATATATATACATATATATATATATATATGATACTGTAACTATTAAAAACATGTCTCAAAATGATTCAAATCATACCTTTTGGGAGTTTACAAGTCTGGGTAGTTCCATCAGAATCTGGCCATGTCAACCACCACTTTGTTCTCAGGGGGCTGCAGTTGCCAACAACTTGGCATCGATGAGGGTGTCAAAATCATCCTGGCGAAACATACAGGGTTCTTCCCAGAAGTTGCACTCTCGCTCCCTTGCGGATCCTTCAAAAACTCTGAGTTTGCTTGCGTTTTCACTCTGACTGCTACTCTTTGGGATGAGTTTATTCATCATCTGATATCATCTTATGAGAGCTGGAGGGCAGCACTTTCTCTGTCAAGAATGCTATTTAGCATACTTAGCAACTCCAGATTGCCACACTACCTGTAGCTCGGCGCCTGTGTGGCTGAAGTCACGCCCTTCTTCCGAAGCAAAGATAGCAGATGCTTTGGCCTCAATGGCAATCCACTTGGAAGCGCAGTTGGGGTTTGTAATGGGTAGAACTATATGGTAATAAGCTTCGTAGATTTATAAGTTTGGATGGGGTCCCTAGAACTATGGCATATGGAATACTATGGTATACGGTATACTATGGTTACATCTCCACGACTGGAACTGCACCAGGAACCCAACGACTGCCACGACATCTGATTGTATCTCCAAGGGACGAGATTTCAATGCGCAGCTCGGACACCTCTCACGGTCCCAGGTGTTTCACATGTCAAATTTCGATGAATGTCTAATGTTTGTTGGCAATGCACATCTTTGCTCAATCTCCCAAGTTTCTTCTCATCTCCAATTTCTTGGTCAATTTCCCATATCTCACCATATTAATTATCACATCCATTCACATCCCCATGATCATTCCAAGTCTCATCAAAAGCCAATTATCACCATATTTGATCATTCCAAGTTTCATCAACACAGAATTCCGTCATTTATCACCAATTATCACCATGATAAACATTTTACCAACATTTTACCAAACACGACCCATTCCGCTGCCATTTTTTGACCTCCCGCGGCACCTTTGGTCGTCGCGGCAGCCGCAGCACCAGAAACAGCTCCTCAGAGGTCTGGGCCCAGATGGCACGACCTGATCCAGCTGGGCCATGGGTGATGGCCATGGAATCTTGAAATATGAGATCTGTGGATAATATATGGCCCAACACATGCCATCCATGGTATATACATTTTGGATATACTATAATATTCATGGCCATGGATAGTTGGATATTATATGATTTCTATATGGGGTTGACAGCTGATACCATTGACCATTGACCCTTGAAATCCATGTCAAAGTATGTCAAAGTGACAACTATGATCAACTACGGATGGCAAAGCGTTAAGAATGACTCCAGTGCACAGGAACACACATCCCGAAAGTGCCTGAAAGGGTCGATTTCCAGTCCTGGAAGGTGGAACAGGCATGGTAATCTGGCCACATCTGGCCCAACATGCAGATTCGATCATATTCGAACAAAGGCCAAACAGCAGGATGCAACAACTTCCAAAGTTCAGCGAATTGCTCCTCTTGCAAGAACTTTCGCAACTCATGTCGTGGCACCGATACTGTGGCCTCGATTCTGCAAACTTTGCGCGCAGGATCTTGACTTGACGTATCTTGACTGAATATCTTGATAATTTCAAGATGCAGTCCATCTCCGCTCAAACTAGAACATCTAGAACTATAGAAACCTTTGCAAACATTAGAAACATTGGAAACTTGGAAATCTAGGCTATTTCTGTTTGATTTGCTGAGGAGTAGGCATCACCATTGGGCCTTGGTTGGCGGGATGCGGGACCTATCCTCTCCTGCCATCCTGCCAGAAGCTACAGCCTTTTTTCCGTGCTTGGCCTCCGGCCCTGCCACAGGAACGGCTATGACCTGGCAGTTCCAGCTTCAACAAATCTCTCCAGGACAGAATAAGCACATTAGTTATTGTTAGTTCCACTGCTGGCTGTATGCCACTTGCTGCTTCAGCATGTTCCAAAGAAACTGAAGCTGAAGTGAGTGCGAAGACACAGAGGAGATGGCTCCTTGGGCTATTCCCTGATGCTGTGTATACCATTGTATGGCAGAAGCAGGGTCAACATTTATCACATTCAAAGGCACATGTGTTGGATGGGACGTAAACGAACATCTAGCGCAAGCAGCAAGACTTGCAACATCTTGCAACCTATCACGAACGAAAATGACAACACGCCTCGCGCCAGGTCTTTTTCTTCTTGGGCCTTTCAGAATCCTTGTAGATCACAGGCAAGTCCTGCCATGTGGCACGTTCACTCTGTGACGGAGAGTACAAAGAGTCGCATTCAGCAAATCCACTTCCTTCATCCTACACCTGAGGGCCACTGCACAAGTCGATGTCAAAATACTGCCATGAAGGAAACTTGGCACTTGCCGTATTCATCATTGACTGGACGGGAACTAAGCCATGATATGCCATGATATCTGGAGAAACAACAGCCATTCTGAAGCGCCCTTCCATGGACCTTCCCCGGTGGCTTCACCACAACATTCACCAAGTTGTGCAGATTCACCAGCAGTTTGCAGACCTCGAAAGGCTCAAAAGCTGGCAGCTTCAATGGTGGAATTGGTGGAAGGATGTGGCAGGAGACATGTTTCAATCAGGTTTTTTCAATATTAGCATATTACGCTGCCTGTTCACGCAGAAGATCGGTGTTGCAAGCTTTCTCCAAGGCCTGTCAAGAGTTGATCCACTCACAACACGTGTCTCAAGCATCGTATGACTGGCTGAATCATAATGATTCACCAGTGGAAAATAGCGGGAATAAGGCCATCTATCAGCAGAACCAAAAAGTGGCTTGATATGCTAGGGGCCTAGATTAGTAACCATATTTTTAAAAAATAAAAAATAAATAAAAACAAATAAAAAAAACAAAAAACACAATTAAAAAAAACAAAAAAAGAAATAAAAAGGAAAAACAAGGAAAAAAAATTATTGTTTCCCTTCCTAACCATCATTCCAGTGACGTCACAGTGATGTCATTATAATTCAGCCAGATATAGCATCATGCTCCCTATGCCTGATGTGACTTGTGCCATTGGTGTGTGTGTGTGTGGGTGTTCTCCGTGATATCGCGCCTCTTTCAAAACATCCTGAGCCTCTTCCCGACGATTCATCGCCGCCAGAGCGCACGCACGACGGATCCAGGCCTCAGGGTGACTTACATTGCTGCTGTCAGACTGACCCCTAGAACATCCTAGAACTAAGGCACCCCACCTTCAAATATCTTGGCTCCAATTCACACGCTGCTTTCGCGTCCTCGCACCGCTAACTAACTTGTAAGGACCAAGGAAACATGTTGTCTAGGTATCAATGCAGGGAATTCCCAAACAATCTGGAGGTTTCTCAAAATGGGGGATCCCCAAGTCACCGTGCTTGTTTCAAGACCAAGTCATGGCCATCCATGACTTAGATGATTTGGGGCTACTCCCATATTTTAGGACACTATCTATAATAAAACGTGTATAAAAGTTGTTGCTACAGAATGTGGTGGCTTCACATGTTTTCCGCCTCGGCCGCCTCAGCATAGGCATCCAATCGTAAATAGGCTAAGGCCTCAAGATGCACGAAATCCATGACCCTGAGGATTTCGGAAATGACTTTTTTCTGTCAGTACAGCAATGATAATAACCACCCATCTTGTTAATTAAGGCTACAGTACCTTTTTTGAAAAATGGGGGATGGTGGATCCATGTGGATCCTATTAAGCTATTGCTTTACTCACGTTGAATCAGGTTGAACCTTTCCATCCCAGGCTCCCGAGCCCGACTGGCAAATGCGATGGCCCGAAAGGGCTGCAATGCTTTGGGGCCGCGCTGTGGGAGAGGCCTTGGAACACGCAGCTGATTCGGCAGCTGTTCCGCTTGAGACAACTGGAACATCCTTAGACCAATCTAGACTCACCAGCTATCCTATCTATCCCAATGCTAATTAGGATCATCACACCCTTAGGCCTAATGCTATCTTTCAAGTGACCAACCCCAGATAAATTCGTCCGTTCATCCGTATTGGCTTGACTTGTCATCCCCAATCAACCAGCCCGGATTGGATCAGCCCGTTTGAATTCACCAATCCACAGGGTTCCCAAACATTCCACGGGCCAATGCTCGCAGTTGATAGCCATTCATAGCTGGAGACTTTTCCACCTGCAGCGCAATTGGCAAAACAAGTGGCAAAACAATCGCATTCAATTAAACCTCATAGGCACAAAATATATCTTGTGTGACGGCCTATCAGATCTATCAGGGAAACTGTACACATGACAAGCCATTAGTGACTAAATCAGTGAAATCACACACCTGAATTATTTTGGCATATTCTGGTCACAACAGAATCCTGGATTCTCCCGACGCTCCCAACCTCAAGGAAGTCCACCATGTCTCGGGCATGATCCAACGCCTTAAACGCGCTAACCCGCTGGGATGGGATTGTCCTGAATCCCGGATGGGAGCACTACACTACGCCATGACAATTTTGTTTCCACACACAAAAAAAGCACCCTTTTGAGGCGAATGGTCTGCAACACAGCAGCAACCAAATGTGAACCTCGATTACATTCAGTTTTTATATACAATTATATTTATATAATATTATATAATTATAGTTGTATACAATTATATACTAATATACACACGTATAGTTACATATTTATTTGTAGTCCAAAATTCCTGATTGAGTGCCGAATAGATACCGAGGTCAACACATGGCTGTACTCTTTGACAGCATGTCGAAACTCTCCCTTTTCCATTGCCCTATTGCCCTGCCAAAGAAGCAAACCAGCAGCAAACCTCTTGCCACTAAGGACATAGTCAAATCATGAGGTGTTTGTTGAGGTCTGCAGATTTGAGCAAAGAGTGGATAGAGTCCCCTAGAAGCGGCAAGCCTTCCGACCAAACATGCTTGATACTGACCTTGCCTGCTCTCTGCGTCTCACCGCATTTTCCTGGCACCATTTAGGACCAGGATCACATACTCTCATCGCACAAAAGGTCCACAGCTGGAGATTTCTGTGAGTGTTGTGCAACAATCAGGGAACTTTGCGAGAGTTTCTCAGCAAAAATCCTGCGCTTCATGTTTCTCGAAATGCAAAGAAGCGTTTCATTTGGGCAGCTGGAGTGTTTAACTGAATGCAGGAAGCTTCCAACTATTTTAACTCATCAAATCCATTCAAATCCTCCATGCACCTGATAACTATTGATAACCCAAATCATTTCTCAGCAAGCCTCCATGGACGTCATGATGGATTTCAGCTCTGCCTCATGCAACGCCTAAGGAATGAAGGAAGCTGGCAGAGGAAAGAAGGCTCCACAAACAGGATGGTCTACTCCCAACAGGATGGTAAGTTTTAAAAGTCTTCACCAGTAGCAGGATATAGCAGGATATAAGTTGCTACAATATAAACCAGTACTGTATAGTTCAGACAATAGGATCACCGGTTTCACCAGTATAACTTACAACATCTTACAACTGCCTTCATGCGAAGAAGTTCTGCAGAGGCGGAGCCCAGGTCGGAGGTTGCGGGCCTGGGGAGGTCAAAACTTACCGTAACCTGGGTAAATGGCTGGCAAATAGCTGGAAATTTGACATAACCATGGAAACTATGCTTCAATTAATGTCAAGGTTTTACCATGTTTTACCTATGATTTGAAGAATGAACTCGAAATGTTGCAATGGAATGAGGATCAGCCATGAATAATCAATAATCAATCCCACAATATGGTTCTAACATGTTCCAACAACAACATGCGCATCCCCACATATCCCAACTACTAACAAATGGATACAAATGGATGATCAGACCCCGTGCCTGAGCCCGTCTGAGCCGGCGTGAAAAATGGACAAGCTCTGCATGGCAACGGCACCCGGCTCCGCAGTTCAAACGCCAAACTCCAGCTGGGTGGTAAAGCTCCAATATGGAGCCAACTGCTTGGTCAATTTTTGTTGTTTTCTGGCGTCAAATTCGGTCTTTGGGGTATCCATCCTAGCTGTCTCTGGAAAGTTTGAAGTGCCCCTGTTTTTTTTGATACCATCAAGTACTACCCAGGCACCCTCAAGACTAGATATTAGACCCCCAGGACTGGGTCTAAGATGGTATTCTTGTAGAAAACCACCAATTGCCAGGAGAAAACCTTCAGACACCCACGTGCACGGGTCTAAAATCATATCTCAAACCCTATGTTTTTTTGTCATAATTAATGGTAACCGGTGATGATATGTGAGATCACTATAGATCACTTAGCACTATGCTACCTTCACAAAATACAAACCGAAGCCATCCAAAGCCTTTTTCCACCCATAAGGTTCTACAATGGTCATTGCAGAATGGTTTTCACCTAATCAAATCTATTTTTCTTTGAAATATAATGTTGATCGAGGTGATGTGATAGCGTGCTATGTGATGCAAATCTGGTTGATT